CGCCATGACAATATAGGTGTTCCTCTTCAGAGCTCCGGTTGTACATGCCTTTGTCTTTCCTGCACTTGGTACCGCGCCGGTGATGTGGGGCCGATTCGGCCAGCCGACTGATGGCAAACTCCGGTCTGCGTCTCTCCGTTCAGTTACACAACAAAGGAACCAGTTGTGAGGATGATGAAGATTTTGACTTATGATAGGAAATCATGCTTTGTTGTTGATATCCTACTATTGCCCTCCTCACGTAAGCATCTCCTCGAAGCACGATGATCCTTTGCCACGCTTTCTTCAAGACGACGCTGGTGGGAGGCAGCACATCGGACGGCCCCGAAGTATCTTGTTGAAGGGCAATGCTTACCCATCAATGTCGCAGGGACTTATACGTTGTGATTGCATGACCTGAGAAGCTTTATGAAACATCATTTCGGAACTGTGGATTCGGACGATGTTCGCTGGGATATTCTAGGGTTACGACTTGGTACATATACCGACGTCCCGCGCTCTCGTAGCTTGTAGAGCAATGCACTCATAGATATGCTGATATATTCCAACGTTCTCCCAAGTTCGCGCTATTGTTCCCTGGATATCTACTTGTCGTTGCTTTTTCTACTACTGCTTGTAGATGGCCCTTCCCTTGGCCTCGATGAGAATGGTCTTTCTCTGCAATATCAGCCACTGAGTGTTTTTGGTAGTCTGATGTGAGATACTGACATTTATCATACACGAGCGTGGTGTTCATGCTCTTTCATTTATCATGATTCAATTGTTATCAGGCAAGTGAGACTTGCTGCCACCCAGCATTGTCTAGTGCTTATTCTTGTTCCACTAGAGTTCATCGCCCTTTTCCAAGACACTATACTTGTTCTTTGTCTTCCTGGAGCTATCGTTATTGCTCAGCTCTGATAGGGAAATAGCACTGATAGTGAGATTTTGGCAAGCAGTGCAGATCAACGCCTCTCGCAATGCTGCGCTTGATTGTCCTGCGTCGCCTAGATACCTATGGGGTTTTCATGCGATATAATGCTGGCTAATACGTCCAAGAGCAAGGCCCTACCATGCAGACATATACTGGAGGCTTATTAGCTGATGATTTTGATCATATAGTTTCAAATGAAGAGTGATGGCAAACATACTGTATACTCTGTTGAACGTTGGCCTATACATTTAGAGGGATTATGCTTACATACGCTACACTTATACTCAAACACCTAGCTGCGTATAATCGTGTATATCCTTTCTGTTTTATCTGCAATGCTATGGACATGCTATACCTAACTTTCCAAAAGTCTCTCATCTCTCGGAGCTGCAGTATATGCCAGAAGGCTTATGTTGACAAGGCTATCTGATTTAGCCTGCATGGTAGCTCCCCTCTGAAGAACAAGAGATTATGAGAAAGCTGAGTTAGAAATGAAAAGTAACCACGAGCCGTCAAAGTTCCTCCATTCAACCTTGTCGACTCACAGATAAGCTGATCATGGGTCTCGTCGCATCACTTCCAAGAACCTTTTTTATTTCTTTTGTCCCCTTTTGTTTTTTCTTTATGAGACCAAGATGAATTATCAAATGGAAATAACCAAGCAGTCTCTGTCTTTAGTGAAGTAAGAGTCCCCTTAAGCTGTAAAACCGAGGGCTTGCCATGACCTGGATTCGTAGCCCTCCTCGTCACACGAGGGCTTGATGTTATTCTGATCATACCTCGATTACCTCAAAACCAGTAGATCTATGAACGAGTTGCTGTAAAGTGGATGTTGGATGAGCTGTTCCCAACGTAGTCATAGAGAAAACTCTGCCACAGAATGAGGAATATAATTCCCCTGGATGAACAATATTATGAAGAAGCCAAGTCGCCGAGGATACTCTTGTTGTGATTACAAATACCTGAAATAAGATCAGATCTCGCTTCGATAAATCACCTCATGTAGTTTCTGTAATCGTGCAAACACAGGCCTGGATATGGAAAATGTTCGAATCTGTTTCGGTTCTCGAGACTTTCTCGATAAACTGCTTGGCGGTCGATCTTTTCAGAAGATGAACGTGGCTATTGATGGCTTATTGTTAGACCGCTTGGTTCGACCACGACAATCGAACCTGTCTAGATTGATGTCGAAGACGACGCAAATATCGTCCACGATTGAGCTTGTTTGATATTGGTAGGATGCTAACTTTGATCGGCAAGTTTACATGGAATGAAAGTTCCCCAGGGAAGCGTGGAACAAACCATGGGCAGTCAATATGACTGGTGAACATAGTGTTGTCCGCGTTGATTCTGTTATTGCTTAGAATGGCCGATCCGTGACTCATCTTCATTGCCAGTGAAAGAGTTAAAACTGACCAGACGAGCGGAATAAGAGCGCCATCTATGCACTCCTTACGCCTGACCAATGCCTACCTCCGAACTCGGAGTTGAGGGTCTCTGTGACACTGGTCAATTCATGTAGCTTGACTTAGAAAAGGATCAGAGCCTCATACCCGTCGTAGCATATCCCTCTCATGGCCTCGTTTGCATATCTTTGGATGATAAGGAGCATGCATCTCATTGTTGTATACGAGGTGTCTTTTTAAGCCACAATTGGCGGTTTGTCTCGAAGCCATAAGCGCTTGGGTTTTCCATGTTAATTCCAATGTTTCCATCTACAAACGGCAATGATCGAGCTACCGTAAGTAAAGGTAAGGAGCTAAGTACTAGACTATAGAACAACGTAGATTTATTTGCGTTCACATTCAGTCTGCGTATGGCGTCTATTCCTGAGGAGCGTTTTGCTGCGAACCTGAACATCCATCAGACTCAGGTACACTTACCACCTCTACAGTCCAGATACATCCATAATCTACCAGTACCTCATATCGATCAGAAGCATCTCAGTCACAATAGCAGGCAAAAATAGCAAAAATAGAAGACAACATACAACAGCCGGTGTTCGCCAGTGGTCACCCACCTGACTACTAATCTGCCTCTCATTGGCTTGACTCTGGGAGAGCAGACGGGATCCCGTATTTTCCAATGGATATGGTCGTATGTGCTTGGTGCGTCACATAAATTGGCTTATCGCCAGCCCCGTGAATGGACTGGATTTGTACAGATAACTGGTTGGCAACCCCTGCCCTCGAGTCAGCAAATTATCGAACAGTAATCGTGTCGTTCATGACTTGATGGTCAAGTTCTGAAAGAGCCAATGGCCAGTAAAAGTTCGTTCGTGAGGCCTTCTTGCTAAGGAAGTTGTCAAATGATCTTTGATTCATTGGCGGCGTGACTCAGTTGAAAGGGGGTGGAATATGTTTGGACCTGATCAGGTTGATAGTCTCATGTGAACCGAGTGTCTCTGCTTACGCCCATTGGTGACAAAAAGCGAGCGTATAATGCAGGGTAGTCTCCTAAGAACAGTGGTAGTTCTATCTCATCTTTACAATCCGAGGCAACAGTTCCAATCCAAGGACTAAATACTATCGCACGTTGTTTGCCGTTGTGACTAATGCAGAAGATGCCGTGAGGCAAGGTGACATCGCGTCTTTGAGAGCATTTGTGGGGCCTAAAGATAAGGTAGCATGAGTTGCAGGATATTGTAGTTGTTGCTTCATTCAAACCAGATCAACGCTTTCACTGCCTCTTGACTATTGCATTTAGATGCTTGTATCAGTCTTTTCACCAAAAGAGCAAGTACAGCATGGTATCACAAGTTGATGCTCGATATTCCAGGCAGCAAGAGTGACGTGATGTGGTCCAAGAGTGCAACAAACCGAAACCCGTGCGGCTAAACCCCATTGAGCTTCATTCAACGCTCAGTCTTTCTTGTGCTTACGTGAATATCTGCGCATTTCATCCCACCCTGACGAGGCCAATGCACGTTCGACTCATTTTCTGAGAGCCGTCACTGCTCACTGCCACTTATGCAGCACGGCTTTGGTTATTGCGTGCCTTGTTCGGGACCGAGTGAACGCAGCATCTACTGTACCTTATCTCTACATTCTCGATGGCGGTGGAATCGCAGGGGCTGGATGTACCTGGCAGCTGGGTGATGACGTAGCACAGATCCTGTCCGTGACTACTAACCTACCTAGCTGAGACTGAATGCAACCGCCACGTTTCGGGGTGACGCATTTTCTCAGCAGCGTTCGTTGGCAGTGACTGTCTGCACGCGTCGTCGAAGGAACAAGCTGATTACCTGAGGATCTGGCGACTCGGCCGAACCATATGAGAAGGCACGGCGATTGACGGGGGCTGGAACATGCAGAGTCGGCATCAAGGAGCCTTGCTGCCCTTTTTAAGTGTCGCCGGCGTTGGCTGACTCAGCTGGAATTACGGCGCCCAAACTCCGTCCTGTCGGCATGTCGGACGTCGGACTTCGGCCTAGAAACTCCCCGGCCGCTGAAAACGTGACTTCGCGCCTGCGTCGAGCGTGCATGTGTCACTCACCACGGCATTGGTAAGCCCTGGACGCCGCCTGATGCTCTGCGATCAATCTCTCCGGGCATGTCCAAGCTGTGATTCAGCGCGAAGCCTCGCCTGGAATCCGCATCGACGGCTGCGAGCCGCTATATAGAGCGAGGCTCGGAGTGGCTTTTCTGTCGTGTCTCGTCACGCACATGCGCTATCCCCAGGTAACGAACCGCTGAGCCCTCCTGGACATCGCCGGCCGCTTCACCATCAATCAGCATCCCCCCAAATATGTCGTCGACCGACGCCCAGCCCGACGCTGCCGCGGCCGCCGTGCAGGCCCAGGGCACCGAGCCCCTTGCCTGCGTCTCCTGCCGGGCCCGGAAGCTCAAGTGTGATCGCACAAAGCCGGCCTGCACGCGCTGCGTCAAGGTCAAGAACGAGTGCGTCTATCCCGAGTCCCGCAGGAAACCGACCTTTAAGCGCCGCAACGTCAAGGAGCTCGAGGCCCGTCTTGGTATGTCATGTTGTACCTTTTTCTTTTTGCCATCCCACTTACACCCGCCTCGGGATAATACCCCTGAATGAACTTGTCAAGACACAGATAAGCTTATGTGTTTTTGCCTCCCCCACAGCTCAGGTAGAAGAGTACCTCAAAGAGGTCAACAAGGGCCACGATGACGGCGCCATCCTCCTGGATGACGCTGACATTTCCCTGGGCGACTTTTCCTTCCCCGGAGATAACGTCAGTCAAGATGCCAACACCTCCAGCGGCGCATCAGATCCGGCCATGGTCTTTGATATGCCCAACTTTACCAGCCAAGATGCTGGTGCCTTCATCAACAGTCAGCTCATGGGACTTGGCATGTCCGAGGCTCTTCCCCCCTATGAGATGATTGAAGAATTGTGAGCCGAGCCTGCAGTTTTCATACATTCCAAAGGGACAATGCTGACAGTCCAAGACACAACGTCTACTTCAACACTCACTACCACTTCCTCCCCATCATCCACTCTGGCCGTTACTACCAGGCCTTCTATGGACCTCCCAACAGAAAACCGCCCATGTGTCTGCAATACGCACTGTGGGCTTACACTGCGATTGGCCATCCCAAATATGACCAGTATGCTGAAGCCTTCTACAAGAGAGCCCGGCAGTACATTGAGGCAGATGAGATGAGAGTGAGGCGACCCTTCTCTATCTCGACACTGAGATTACCCATGTTCTAACTCATCGGCAGAGCGATGGCGAGCATTTCGTGACAGTAGCTCACGCCCAGGCTTGGGCCACCATTGCCAGCTACGAGGCCAAAGCCATGCTCTTCACCCGAGCATCCATGAGTGCTTCGCGCTACGTTCGCCTTGTTCAGATGCTGGGACTGGACAGGCTTGATAAAGAAGGAGACGACATCCCCCCGACGCTTGGCCCCATTGCCAACTGGACCGAGCTGGAGGAGCGCAGGAGGGTCTTTTGGGGCGCGTTTGCCATTGATGCCCACGCAAGCTTGGCGACTGGCTGGGCTCACATGGTCAAGTCCGAGGACGTAAGGCTCTCTTGCTTTCTTGACTCGTTTGTTTGTAGCGCAACCCGGTAAGTAGGACCGCGCTGACTGGGGTCTAGGTAATGACGCGGCTTCCGTCTTCAGAGGACTCGTTCATGTCAGGGAGGGAAGAGAAGACGGTATTTCTGGAGGAGGTGTTCTCGGGGGCCCCTTATGAAAGCTTCTCGGGTGCCATTGTCATCTGCGAGGTCTTCAAGATCATCCTCAGGCACGTTCACGGCGCGAAGCCCTCTGACCATCCGGAGGACTTGATGAACGGCGCCTACTGGAAGCGTCATCGCGATCTCGACAACAAGCTCTCGAGCCTCTTCATGTTTCTGCCTGAGAAATTTCGCCTCCCAATGAGGGCTCAGGACCCAGCCGCGGTGCATACAAACCTCAACCTGCACGCCTCCGTAATCTGTCTACACCACGCCGCCATCGAGACAGCAGAGAAGTATGGGTTTAACGACACCATCAAGCAGAACAGCCTGTGTAGGCTGAGGACTGCTGCTGAGGAGATTGTCAACATTATCAAGTTGACATCGCATCACACTTCTTTCTTTGTATGTTTTGCGGCACTGTTCCCCCTCCCTTTTCTATATCACTAACAGTTACAACAGAAAACGCAACTCTGTGCGCTCTCGTTATATTCTGCCACGACTGTCTATGTCTATCTGGCCAAGGATGACCCCGTGGCCGGTGTTACCCCCATTGATATCTCCAACCTGGAGATTATCATTAACGCAATGGAAGCCATTGGCCGTGTGCACCAAGTTACAACTGCATTTTTGCAGCAAGCCTGTCTCGATATCGAGCGCAATGGTTTGACATCCTGCCTGCGCCTGCCGTCTCTCTCAAAATACCGCGATCTGTTCGGCGGCCCGGCGTCAAACATTCCTCGATTTGCTCGCACTTCGGTATCGCAACACACTGAGATGTCTTCGCCATTGCCCGGACGACTCCCTCTCGGCGGCCCCAAGGGCGTTAGGAGGCCGTCTGGCTTGAGAATGAGCAAGCCGCTTGCCTCCATGACGGGTGTCCAACCGGAAATGACTCACACAGCAGATTGCTTCAACGCTGTTCTCGGCGCAGTGACTCGAAATGTCACCCCAAGGTCATATGATGCCGCCAACAACAAGCGGAAGCGGGTAGCTGTCAGCCCCGGGCCGGACGCGGGTATGGCGACAACTGGCAACTCTGGAACTTCTGGGACGGCAGCCAGAGACTTCCGCTTCAGCATCAGCAAGGGCTGCGTGGACACGCCCGCGAACCACGCCTGCGGGAACCTCTGGTCCCACGGAGACGTCAACATGAATCCACAAGCAGCCGTCGACCCCATCTTCGTGCTGCCGGACCGCACCAGCTCATCCGCATCGTCCCCGGCCCCGCGCGGACCTTGCACGGAGCCCTTTTCGGCGAGCAGTCACACTTCACCCAGCTTGGGTCTCGGCAATACTCCTGAGGAGAATCGCATTGATTTACGGCAGTTTCAGGGGCGCATTACCACGCCGCTCTGGCAGAGCACGGAAGAAGGCATCTTTAACCACATTACGGAGACGATTGCGCAGTATTCGGGAGATGGAAACGATCCCTGGGCGCTGTTGAACGGCGAGCATAACAATTGGAATGGAGCTACAACAAATTGATCTATTGCAGGTCGGGGAGGATAACCAAGATTCTTTTGGCGCTTTGGATTGGGCAGTGTACGATACGGGAACACCATCCCGCGTGTGCGCGAGGACATACGCAACTCTTTGGTTTGTGCAAATGGAAAAGCAGACAATTGCTTTTTCTTATACGGAGTATCGGATGGGTTTGGGATGCTAATCGGAAACTGTCATCACCTCTCTCTACAACAGGATTGTATATATTTGACACATGTAGAACATATGCCAATGGCTATATGACAACTAGGTATGCGAAGCTGTTGCTGCTGCTGCAGGAAGAGTAGATGTGAGGTCAGGTGACGAGATTGCATGGTGAATTGACAACGGCCCACATCGCTTCGTGGAGAGGTCCGTCCTCCGTATTGCCGCGATATTTCAGCTCCATAAGTACCAACCAACCAACCATGGCCTCACAATGAGTTTCAGACGAGATTCTCGACGTTTCAACTGGACATCTCAACTCTGTCTCCGTCTCTTCAATTCACCTCACTGTTTCCTCACACACAATTCACCGTGTCAATTCAGCCACTAAAAGTAACACCGACTACCTGCTCTGACGAAAGGTTGTTGCAGAAATAGAGAGAGAGAGAGAGAGAGAGAGAGAGAGAGAGAAAAGGGAGAATGTTCACATACATCATCGGCCTCCTCGGCCTCCTCCTGCTCATCGTCCCCAACCCCCTCACAGAGTACTTTCTCTCCCAGAAGGAGAGGGACAAGTACCTGTCGCCGCGGCCGCAGCTCAACGAGTCGCTGCTGGCGATTGACGCTCCGAACGCGACGCTCCCGGACTGTCCCGCTGACGCGTACGGGGTGCGGATCCTGAGGAGGGAGCCGCTGGTGGTGTATCTGGAGGGGTTCCTGAGTGAGGAGGAGAGGAGGCATTTGCTCGAGATTAGGTGCGTTTTGTCAAGTCTTGTCTCTCTATATCTGGAGTCATTCAATGATCATCATGTGTTTTGCTGTTGGTGATGAGACAACGTTCATCAAAGTCACATAACACACATTCATATAGACCACTGACGGGGGGTGTATATATATATATATATAGCGAACCCCTATTCGAACCCTCGACAATCACCCACGACGCCAGCTCCACGCACCGCGACACCACCGTCCGCGACTCCTCCGTCGCGCTGCTCCCTCGCACAGACACGGTCCGCTGCATCGAGGCCCGCTCGCTCGCCTTCCAGGGCTGGCGGCGCGACGTCTGGATCGAGCGCCTGCGGACGCAGCGATACGTCGAGGGCGGCTACTACAGGCATCATCTCGACTGGAGCGGCAACGTGGGCGGATGGGGCCGGGTGAGCAGCTTCATGGCGTGGGTGGATGCTTCGGAGGACCTGGAGGGCGGGGGCACGGAGTTTCCGCTGCTGGAGGCTTGGGAAGGGGGGAGGTGGTGTGATTTGCTGGAGTGTGGGCATCAGAAGCAGCAGCAGCAGCGAGAGATTGAGTCCGGCGGTGATGATGGAAAAGATAAGGAGGAGCAGGAAGAGGAGGAGCAGGAAGAGGAGGAGCAGGAAGAGGAGGAGCAGGAAGAGGAGGAGGAGGAACAGGGGAGGGGGGTTACGTTTAGGGCTATTCCGGGGAATGCAGTCTACTGGGAGAATTTCGCGGCGGATGGGAGGGGATATGAGGAGACGTGGCATGCTGGGTTGCCGGTGAAGAAGGGGGTCAAGGTTGGGTTGAATATTTGGAGCTTTGGGAGGATATAGGGGGTGTGAGGTGACTCGGTGGGTTTGTTATAGGAATGATTCATTGCCTGAGGGTCATGGTGGAATTACATGGAATGGTTCAATGCTATATACCTAGGTTCAGAGAGGTCTTATAGAGAGACGGTGATCCGGAAACAGGACGGTAGTATTGAAGCAATATGAACAGGCCAAGAAAATGATGATGATAGCGGAAAGCCAACAGGGGTATCGACAAGGAAGAAGAGAGACTACAGAACCACATACGAATCCCCTCGGGAGCCGCTGCTTATTCCCACTTCCTCTCGCACTGGCCCGTCCAACGACCCCAAGCAATCACCTTGCCATCGATTGCCTTTGCAACCTGCTCTCGAGTGGGCTTGGAAGCGACAAGAGTCTCGTCCAGGGGTTCGCTTAGAGCAATAATGTCGAAGAAGTCTTTCATAGCAGCAACAGGCAATAGTCAGTCGTGATCCGGTAGCATGCTTTGTTTTCACCTTTGAAGTACGTTTACGATGGAGGAATTGGGGATAGACTTACATCTGTGGATGCCGTGATTGAGGAGAGGCCGAGGGGGAATGTAGACGTTGCCGCGGCGGTTGGCGCCATAGTAGAAGCCGCCCTTGAGCTTGGTAGACTTGTTGTCGTCTTGCTGCTGAAAGTCGTCGTTTGTCACAGACAGTTTATCCTTGTCAATCCCAAGATATATCCTTTTTCCACACCCCAGTCAGTCAGACACTCACTCACTCACTCACTCACTTCTCCAACACACAACAACCTCCCCTCATCAAAAGCAACATCGTAATAGCAACTCACCCGTGACAGATGGGCGTGGGCAGCGGCGCATCCGGATCCTCCGACACAAGCAGCCACTGCCTGACGCCCTCGACAGCCTCCCACTCCAGCTCGGGAAACTTGCCCTGCTGCGCTCCGTGCATGTACGCGGGCGAGAGGACGGCGCCGTCCGGGCCGCAGTCGGGAGAGGTGATGGGGATGGTTGGGGCCGGGTGGGAGGTGAAGGCAGGGCCCTTTGTGAAGGCTTTTGCGTCGCGGCCTTTGGCGCTGGCGAAGAGCCAGCTTGCGGCTGCTTCGACGTATTTGAGCATGTTGTTGATAAGATAGGTAACCTGAGCGTTTTGGTTGGTGAGATGAAGAGGTGAGGTTGTGAGAGGAGAAGGGTGAGTTCGGTTTGGCTGTAATAAGATATCTATATGGGCTCGGGTGACCACTTGGTGGAAACTGGTGGAAATGAGGAATCAAGCAGAATAAAGAAAACGAAGAGCGATAGAAAGGATTTGTCAAATCAAATTCCACAGGTGATGCATCATACGTTGGGTAGGTAAGTGGTGAGCGATAGCCACCTCGGTGCCGAATCGGCGATTGATGGGTTGTCTATAAGACGAGGGTTGATACTATTACAGGGTTGGGACGGAATTGGCTTGTCAAGGCATGAATCTTCAAAGTACTGGGCAATCTTGTGAGAAAAGATGAGAGACACTTGATTCTGAGATATTCGACATGTTACCTATCGTCTCTCGAAATCACTTCCATTATTTGTTAATATGCATCCCATAATCTCACTGTAATTCTCATCGCCGCCTTTACACACTACCTAACCTAACATGATACACCTACCTACTAGTAGGATCTCACAGCTCGTCAACGGCCGCCTGAATGTCACATCTGTCCTTGTTCTTACTTCTTGCAACAATTACTTCCATGCTGCTCATGTACACTTTTATCACAAAATACAATGCCTGTGGTGAACCGGACACTGAATGCTTACAAGTACAAGTCGACGGACGAGTGCCGCTCATAGCCGGTCAAGATGGCTTAAATGCGCTGCAGCCGAGGTGCTGCGTATCGATAAGAGCTCAACTCCGAATTTGGCGTCTAACCTTGTACATACCTACATGTAGCTCTCTCATGGGCTTACAACTCCAAATCGTCTCTCATACACAGCCCATGCTCTCTCTCTCTCTCTCTCTCTCTCACTTTACGACTCCAATGAACTATCTAAAATAGTATTCAGACATACATTGTTTACAAAACAGACATCACAGACGCAATGCCTCCCAGAGCCATCACCCCAAGGCTCCTCTCCCGCAAACGGCCACGCATCTCAACCTCCTCACCACCCTCCCACGCCCTTCTATTCTCATTCTCACACTCATACTCAACACCCCTCAAACCCATCGACATCCAAGCCATCAAATCAAGGCCCCCCAAGATCATCCGCGACCACCTCGTCCCCATGCCCTCCCACCTCCTCACCACCACCCTCGACGACCTCCTCCACACACCTTCAACATCACCCTCACCATCACCATCATCATCACTCACCCTCTCATCAACGAGGCATCTCCCACAGGGCCACCACCTAGTCTACTTCCCCCTCCAAACACCCGCATCGAAACTCGCCCCCGACGGCGCAGACAGAGACCACGCGCCCAACGAGGACTTCACCCGACGCCTCTGGGCAGGCGGCGAAGTGCGTTTCCATCACAATCCCGACAGCAGCAGCAGCAGCAAGGGGCTGGTGCTTGACGGACGGCCATGGGTCTGCAGGGAAGAAATCGACAATGTGCGCGTCAAGGGAGAGGAGGATCCCAGCAGTGAAAAGGTCTTTGTCGACGTATGGAGGCGATATGCCCTCGGCCATGACGAAAATCCACAGAAGTGGGATATCGAGGAGCGCAGGACATTAGTCTTTATGCGCAAATCGGAATCTGGAGATGAGCCTCGGGATATACCCAAAGGGCGGCTTGTCAAATGTGAGTTTCCTCTCTCTCTCTCTCTCTCTCTCCCCATGAAAGCCCCATGAATCATAACGTCTCGAGTACATTGCAAATCTTTGGGCGTATAGTGAACTGAAAAAGACTGATGAAATCTACGAGATAAAACAGACGCCCACGCACCCACGCATTCCGCAACAATCACCCCAACACCAGCACACCTCTTCCACTTCTCGGCACTTACCTACAATGCTCACGCCATCCACCTCGATCCGCAGTACGCGAGGTCGCAGGACGGACACCGCGCGCTGCTCGTCCACGGGCCGCTGTCTCTTGCGCTGATGCTGCGCGTGCTCAACGACCACGTCGTCAATCCCTCCTCCTCCTCCTCCTCCTCCTCCTCTCTTGCTTCAGGCGGCGGCGGCGGCGGCGGCGGCGGGATGGTCAAGTCCATTGTGTATAGGAATTTTGCGCCGTTGTATGTAGGCGAGGAGATGAAGGTCTGCGTGAAGCCGGCGAGGCGCGGTGCGGCCAGGAGTGTGCAGGAGGAAGAGGAGTGGGATGTTTGGGTTGAAGGGCCGGAGGGGGGGTTGGCTGTCAAAGGGAGTGTGGTGGTGGCTGCGAAAAGGGCAAACTCATAGAGAACGTTTGCCAATGTCGAATCAGGGGCTGTGGATCGTATGTGTTGAGATGTATATATTGCTTTTGTCCCTCCATCTAAATGGCCATTACTACATATGCTTTCTATATCACCTGCCAATACGTCGTCCCCTACACCTCAATATAAATCCTCATCATCACTCGCCGTCCCATCCTGGAACCCCATCACCGCCTTCCCCTTCCCCTTCCCATTCACCTTCTCCTCATCACTGCTCACCGCAACAGCTTTGCCCTTGCCCTTCCCCTTCCCTGCCAAAGAACCCCTCCTCTTCTCGTCATCCTGCTGCTGCTTCTTCTTCTTATCGTTGCCGCCCTCAAATTGCGCCCTCACCCTCTCATAGTGCGCCAGCTCGCCCGCGCTCACGCTGGGAATCAGCTCCTCGTGCGCGGCGATAAAGTCCTCCTCGCGCACCATGACGGCAATGTCCGCGGCCGTGGCGTAGTGGTCGAAGAAGTATGCCGTCGAGACCTCGTGCTTGGTCGCCGGGTCGGCGTTGAGGGCGCGCACCTTGGCGTCTACGGCGGCCGCCTGGCGCGTCACGGCCTTGAGCATCGCGTCGCTGCAGAGCGCGTAGAAGTCGGCGCCCGTGTAGGTGAAGGGCAGCCGCTGGGAGACGGACGCGAGCGAGACGGAGGGGTGGAGGGTGAATCTGCAACAAAGAAAAAAAGAAAGCAGGTTAGCGCATAAGTTCTCATCAAGAAAGACGAGGGATATGGTTTCAAGCATAACAAAGTGTGGAAAACAAAAAGGGGGGGGGCACATACTTTCGGGTGAGAGCCTCCAAAATGGTTTGCTGCTTCTCATGCGTGTCGGACACTCCGAGATACAGCATCTTGTCGAATCGACCAGGACGCAGCAGCGCGGGATCCAGCAAATCAGGCCTGTTGGTGGCTCCAATCACAAACACGCCTCCCGCATCGTCGCCGCCCGACATGCCGTCCAGCTCCGCCAACAGCTGCGACACAATGCGGTCCATGACGCCGCCCGAGTCGCCCTGGTTGCCTCGCTTCGGCGCCACGGAATCCAGCTCGTCAAAGAAGACGACGCAGGGCCGCGCGTCCCGGGCTCGCTGGAAGACGCGCCGCACGTTGGCTTCTGATTCACCAATGTACATGTTGAGCAATTCGGGACCCTTGACGCTGAAGAAGTTGAGGCTGTACTCGGTGGCAATGGCCTTGGCGAGCAGCGTCTTTCCCGTACCCGGAGGGCCGTAGAAGAGAATGCCGGATCGCTTCTTCATGCCCTTGGCAAACAGCTCGGGCCGCTCCAGCGGCAGCTGGATCGTCTCCGTGATGGCCTCCTTGACGTTGCTCAGGCCGCCGACGTCGTCCCATGTGACGTTGGGAATCTTGGGGGCGCCGATGGAATCGGAAAAGTTCTTGCGCGCGGCTTCAACGGCAACGTCAAAGTCGGCTGCCGTCAGGCATCGGGCTGCCGAGCCGCCTGCAACCTGCACGTCGCGCACCGTCACCGGCATGCTTCCGCGGCCGGACTTGGCAGAGAGCAGCTCGAGCCGGGCTCGCTGGGCGACCGAGGCACGCTCCACAACGTCGAGCAGGTCGCCGGCAACCAGCGCGGCCGTCTTGAGGGCAATGGCATTGAGTTCAATGGCCGGCTCCAGAGATACGCCGCGGTCTTCAATGACGGTCCTCAGGATGGCCTCTCGCTCGGCCTCGTCAGGGGCGCCCATTTCCAGCTCGTGCGTGAAGAGCGCGCGTACGCCATCAGGGACCTTGTCAACCTCGTTGGTCGTGGCAATGAGGACGCGGACATCCTCGAGAATCTCTTTGATCGAGGCCTCTATCCGATCCGCCGTCAGCGCCTCGATGTGCTGGATGAGGAGAGCGCAGCAGTCCGGGCCGCAGCTAATGGCTCGTTCCGCACGCGTCCTCAGGAAGCCCTCCGTCTTGACATCGCTCCCGCTGCCTCCGCCCTCGCTGATGATATCATAGGCGTCAATGGCGAATGTGTGTAATCCAATGTCGCTACAGGCATCCTTGGCCATGGTCGCCTTTCCAATGTTGCGATGCGTCGACGTGAGCAGGATGGCGACGGGCGGCATTTTCAGGTGGATAGCCCGCAGACTCGTCGCGGCAGCCAGGAGCTCTCGCAGCTGGCGCCTCAGGGGCGGAACGTGCTGGTGGTCGCGATCCGCCAACTGCGGAGGGCCGCCGTCGGGTGACCGTTGCGGCGTCTTCTTCAGGCCCAGATAGTACGGCCATGTGCTGTCCTTGGTGCCCGGTATCCGGCTTGTTTCAAACCCTGACCCGTGCATGGCGACCGTTGTGCTGTCGATGCACGCGACAGATCCCCAGAGGGACTCGCCCGTCCCGTCCTCATCCTCGTCAGACTTTTGTACCTGGATATGCCCAACTTTGAACCAGGCCACGCTGTCGAAATGCGACTGGCTCTCCCCGCCAGACTGCAGTGCCACTACGTCGTCCACCTCCGAACCGCCTGCGCCGGGAGCCTCCTGCAGGGCACGGCCCAGCTGGGCGTCTACCGGCACGGCAATCAGATCACCCTGGCGGACGAGGCGCAGCTTATGCGCAAAGTAGCGCTTCAGTCCGCCCAAGACGGCCGTTTGGTATGCTCTTTCGGCAGAAACGGGGGTCCTGATGTGGTGGATGGCAATGTCTTTCGCGTACGGAGGCTGCGAAGCGCTTGCAAATTTGGGCAGCGTCCCCTTGCCCTGATAGGAAGACTTCTTGAGCGGCGATATGCGCAGGTGCGTGGCTCCATCAATGTTGGCAATCAAGATTGGTGAAGCATAGGCGGCTGGGCTAGTCGATCGCTGGACCTGCGACTCGAAGAATGAGGGCCGGCGGTCACCCAGCTTCGAGCTCGGAATCCGAGTAACGGGGCGCTGAGAGTAGCCCTCGGGCAGGCCGTATACACGGACTGGCCGCCAGTTGGAGACTTCCAGGTCTGGGTGGTTGAAGCTGCCGAGCCCAAACGCGCCGAATCCATTCAGGGGGGGCTCTTGAGCAGCCTCAATCCGGACCCAGTCTCCGGAAAAGCATCCGATTTTGGAGAGCGAGGCCACATCAACATAGATCCGGGCCTCTTCGTCATCCTCGGGGGATGGCTTGGGATGTAATAGGTCAGAAGGGATTTGCCGCTTCAGGCCGTGCACCTTGAATAGCCTCCCGCGAGCTCGGTCGGGACGAGCAGTGGTGGACGTAAAGTTGGAAAAGACGGAGCCGGGAGTGGCAAAGCCATTGGTCTTCCTGCCGCGTAGCGTTCCAGCCGTCATTGGCGTCCCTGGACCTAAAGAATTCATCGAGGTCGTCGTCGGCAGCGTCGGGACCTCCAACGAGATCACCTCGTCCATCGAATCGTCCGAAAGCTCCTCTTCCTGTTCTGATCCTGAGAGGTCCGTCTCCGTCTCCGCCTCCGTGGTGGCCACCGCGTCGTCGGTCGCGGGGCCTGCCTGGACACCCTCCTCGGCAGCCGAGAAGAACTGGTCGGTGGTGCCATCGTCATCATCGTCGTCGTTGCCGTTGAGCTGCTCGCCAGACGGCATTGACGCGGCAGCACGGGCCTGTCTTCGACCGGCCCCCCTCCCCTTCATGAGGATAATCTTTGTAGAGTCCGTCAAGATGCCCTGCGCAACGGGCTCGCAGAGCATAATCTTGCCCGGGTTCGGCGGCAGGTGGGTGACGGGATGCGGCGGGAGAGGCAGCGGAAACAAATCGCCAGAGTGGACGACCTTGAGGCCGGCGAGAGCTGCCCTGAGCGCCATGGCCACGCGCTCCTCTGCTGTCAGGTCGGCGACGCCCTTGGTGTTGGGATTGGTCGGGTGGTCCTTGTAGAACGTGCCCTCGCCATTCTCTAGCCGTTTCGTCAACTCGCTCTCGAGGCTGACAAACACCGTCTCGAGCGGAACGGGGGCGACGTCGAGGGCGAGGACTTCGATGCCGCTGCGGCTGTGGCTGGACAGCTTGGAGGGAGCCACCTGCTGCAAGGTGACGGCGAAGCTCTGGAGGGCCGCGGACGAGGGCGAGAACTGGATGGTCGAGTGGTTCAGGTCGGTCGATCGCAGGACGGGCACGATGGACCAGGCCATGTCGACGGGATTGGCGTCGGGAGCCCATGGCGCAACGGCAACGTGGTGGATGTCGTTGGGAGTTTCGTCGGCATCTTTTGTTTAACACATCCTGTCAGTCTTTCTCTTGCAGCTCGGTTCAGTCCGGCAGCGGCACCGATGCAGCACCCGCTACCTTCTCTCAGTCAGCCGTCACTTACCGTTTGCGAGGTGCGGAAACAGATCGGCAAAGAGGTCGTCAGACAAGATGCCAACGTCGCCCTTGGTGCGGTCGTCGAGCACGAGGCGGGCGGTGATGGCGGGCTTGTCCTGACGCCGCCGGCGGATCCGTCTCTTGTGCGACACGACAGGCGCGCCGTCCGAGACAGCCATCTTGGCCGTGCTGGGGAAAGACCTGAGGGAAGGGAGCCGGTATGGCGAGATCGGGGCGCAAGGAGCCGGTGTCAAAAGGAGTTGACGGACGAGATGGACTACTACCTAGTAGTAGACGACGAGCAGCTGAGTGACTGGACCCCGCGGGCGCTGGATCATGGCGCAGCAAAGAAAAGTAACTGAAGCAGAGAAGCAAAAGATGTACGACGGAAGGATGAAGAGAATCCTTGACAGGTGGTCCAGGGCAATTGGAGCGGGCGCGTGGCGGCGCGATGCGATGCGTTGCGTTGCGAAGCTGGAGATGCAGGGTGTCGTGTTCGGGTCGAGTCCACTGTAAGCTGGAGCGGACAGGCAGTGTTGAGTGGCTCGGCTGTAGCCGCCAGCCTCGGCACTGGGATTGGGGGGAGACCCCGGAATTGGGAGACCTCAAGCTCAGCTGGAGAATTCAATCAGCTGAAGGGCAGCCGCTGCAGCTCCACAAGGGGTTGGGGTTCATTGATTGATGAATAATAATGCATACTTAGTATGAAGATCTATATAGAGAGATGATGCCTGTGGTAGTTGACTACCGACGATACCTATTGAGAGCTGTGTGTTTGGCATGGTAGAGCTAAGCAGCAGTGTTTGTTGCAGAGACAGGTCGGGTATCTCAAGTTGCGCCTTGATTCAGGTCCCTTACAGCTTCAGCTACCTACCCGAGACTTAGGTTGGTGTCCTAGGTACGTGTACCTGCACTTCAACGTGAAGTACCTACCTAGGCACCTCATTTCGAATGATTCAGAGTCCATCTTGCTGGCCAATTGAAACGACTGCATTGTGCCTTATCTGGGTCTCCATGACTCTCCATCAAATACATGCACAATCCCGTCTGAACCGAACCACTTCACGTGTAAGCGATACACGTATCTCTGGCACCTTGACTCCAGTCTTTGTTCCAAGGAAAATCCATCTCCACTCCACCAACTCCAGCACAAACGCCAACAAAACGAACAGAAACAGTCACCAACATCATAGCCTAAGACCATTCTAAATCCCAACCTACTCAAACGGCGTCGCCTTAGTTTGCAACTCTATGGCGCCTCACGCTTATTTCCAGGGGATCATCGCCTACCCTCTGCAAGTGTCCTGCAACTCGATTGCGTCACACCCTTTTGGAAACGTGCAAAACCGGGAAGCCCCTTGTCCAGCCAGGGCTTTTCTGCACCTCGAGGTGGACATTACCTTATGGATGGCTTCCAGCTCTTCCCTTTTCTCACCTTCTGCACTCACCGCATTCATCATTTGTCTCATTATATTTTTCATTAGAAGACATTGCCAATTTGTTCACTCTTTGCTGTGCAATCACCAAGTCGACAACTTGCTGCGAGTGACCAGTTTGCTTCGTCTTTGCCTTTGCTGGGACCAACCGGCTGAAGCAGGCTCCTACTCACTGACCTAAATCCACCTACACATTGATGTCATCACCATTTCCGGGTGGCCATTCATGAGGCAGTACAGCGACAAGACAGCGACAATTCCTGCTTTTATGGCTTTAGGATCGCGGATATCAGCTTCAAGACAGACACTATCAACTTACACACCTACACTTCCCTATTAACAGCAGTCAATTGGCCAAGATGGGCCTCCACGAGGAACCTCCCGTCCTCTCACGACACAATACGACTTCATCCTCTCGAGGGTCTATCGAGGTCACGCAGCAGGCCGTCGAATTCACCAAGCAGTCCGAGAAGCTCTCCCATCAGGCGCTGGGCAATACCTCACCCGCCATTGCTGTCCAGGCGGATTTCATCACCCCACGGGATCCCGTCATTGTCACCTCGGATGGAAACCGGTTACCAGGCGTGCCCTTGGACGAAGCCTACAAGCTCAACGTGCTGCGCGAGCAACTACATGGCCAACTAGACAAGGGCAGGACTCCTTCAGATGAGCATCATCAGGAGCACAGACAGGAACGTAGACCCAGCCAGCTGCATGATGGAATCCGAACAGAACCCAAAGAGACACGTGCTCGTCGGCAGGCGTCAAAGGGAACACTGTCACAGACCATGCCGCCGTCACATACAAACCCCTTGTTCCCGCCCCTGCCACTGTACGGACCGCCGTCGTGGTTGCGAAACGCCCAGTGCTGGTTCTTCAGATGCACGTCGTTTGTGCTAAGCCTGGACTTTCTGGGCGTCATTGTGCTGGGCGCGCTGTTTACGAGCATTCCAGCAATTTTTCAGTCACTCTTCCAGCCAGATAGCGACAAGAAGCGGCCGTTCTACGAACAGGAGCGCCAAAATGCCGCCATAAGGAGACAGAAAGAGATAGAATGGGATCTGAGGACCCATCAGCATCTGGATGTCGAGAGTGAAGGCAAGGTGGACGAGTACCCACCTACTGAGGGTGGCAAAGACCCCATCGTCTGTGATGTTGGGTACTATGCGCGGAGGGTCGGCCTCGACGTGGAGACGTTCAAGGTCGAGACGGAAGACGGCTTCATCATCGAGCTGTGGCACGTCTATGACCCCAAGGAGCATACTCCCGTGGATGCGGCAAGCAGGGATAGACTCGACCCAGAGGTCTTCCAGGAATCCAAGGAGAAGCCGGAGAAGTCGAGTAGGAAGAAGAGGTTCCCCGTGCTGTTGATGCACGGCCTGCTGCAGAGTTCCGGGGCGTATTGCTGCAACGACGACCAGAGCCTGGCGTTTTGGCTGTGCAAGAGCGGATACGACGTCTGGCTGGGCAACAACCGATGCGGCTTCAACCCCGAACATGTCCTCCTCAAGTACGGCGACCCGCGCATGTGGTGCTGGAACATCCGGCAGATGGGCGTCTTCGACCTGCCGGCGCTCGTGTCGCGCGTCCTGCACGAGACGGGCTTCGCCAAGATTGGCCTCATTTGCCATTCCCAGGGAACGACGCAGACGCTGGTGGCCCTGGCCAAGGAGCAGCGGCCCGACCTGGGCGAGAAGCTGACCGTCTTCTGCGCCCTCGCGCCCGCGGCCTATGCCGGGCCGCTCATCGGCAAGATGTACTTCAAGTTCATGCGCATCATCTCGCCCGCCATGTTCAGGCTCATGTTTGGCATCCACGCCTTCATCCCCTTCATGATGCAGATGCACGCGCTGTTGGATCCGCGCGTGTACGGCTGGCTGGGCTACAAGGTCTTTTCCTTTCTCTTTGGCTGGACCGACGAGCGATGGGACCGAGGGCTGCGCAACCGCATGTTCCAGTTCGCGCCGGTGTATGTGAGCGCCGAGTCGATGCGCTGGTGGCTCGGCCGGGAGTGCTTTGCGACGCATAAGTGCATCCTCGCGACGAGGGAGGTCCTGCGAGCCGAGGAAGGCCTCGACGGCGACGGCGACGGCGACAGCAGCACCAGCCCCGACGACGACGACAACGACTCAGAAGCCGGCGACAGCCAAACTCACCCGCCTAAGCAGCGGCATCACCACATCAAGGGCTCGACGGCATGGTACAACGACCAAGTGCCGCCCTTTGCGCTGTGGGTGTGCGGCGACGACCATCTGGTGGACGGGCAGCGGCTGCTGAAGCGGTTCAAGGCGGGCCGCGAGCCGCACGTCAAGGTGGTGCACAGCAAGGTGATTCCCGAGTACCAGCACCTGGACGTCATCTGGGCCATGGATGCGCCTGACCAGGTATTTCGAGAGATCCGCGAGGTGCTGTGGAAGACGTGCGACGCGCGCGACGTCTGCAGGACGCCCGAGGGCTGCGACGCGGTGGAGAGGTGGGAACCAGCCGAGGCTGTGGCGATGGAGGTGGGCGAGGAATAGGAGTTGGTTATACTGGAGACTCGGCATCTTCTTGGGTTATATATTTGCACGTTTCAGTCGCTGTTTTATCATTTCTTTTATTACTTGGTCCATGACTCGAAAGGCTCAGAGTCTAGGGTGGTTTCTGTATTTTACCTACATGTAGATACCAGTTGATACCATATATATGTGGAGTTTCGGTTGAATCGTCGTCGTCTTCTGCTGCAGTCGGCAATGACGTGTAATGGCAGCCGAACAATGTCCATCAGCCAAGGCGCCGTTTGCCGACGGATCGAATGTTACCCCGGAAGAATTACCGACAGCCCGGCGGTTGGAATTATCAATTCCTCCCTACCTACTGCTGAGATGTGCCCTTTGTATTAAGATACATGAAGCTATTGATACGATTCGTTGAGAATGCTGCCTTCTTACCTACTTGCACGAAGAAATAAGACTAAGAACTCCGACTTGTCAAGAGACTCAACTAGTGACACGGAGAAAGATACCCAAGGCATCCATCCGCAAATCACAATCCCCATACTAGGCCTGATAACGCTCGGGAGGTCAGCATCTTACTCAAGCCAACGCAAACACGCACCCAATAGGATGGCTGTTCCCTCCCCCTCCCTTCTACTCTGCCTCTACCCCAGATTCTTCTGCCTGTCAGCACCTCCCTCCTTACGATAGTACCTCCCACAATGATATCAAACACTATCTACATGGTATCTATCCAACAGCCGCAAGAGAAGAACATCACCGTCACCAAACATCTTCACCACCCCCACAGCTGCCCCCCTCCAGTGCCGAGGTTCACGGCTTGTCAAACCGGGTCCGCCAAAAGAACTCCGCTTTGAACACACCCTCCCTCGTCCCTTTTCCGAGCGCTCAACCACGGCCATGCAATCTGTACATACGAACACTGTACACTAAATACAGCCAGGGGCCCTATTTTCGTCCATTCTTATGAATCCTCGTCTGCATGTAGTCATATTACATACGAAGCCTGTTCCTCAAGCTATTTTACTACCTTATTCCCCCCGTGGAAAGTATCTCAAGATATATAGTCGGGCATGTCATTGCCACGCCACAAGCGATAGTCCATAGCCTACTTGCCTAGTAGTATCTCATTGCCCCAAACCAACAGACGTCCAAGAAACCAAAAAAAAAGGAGGGGAGACGAGCCTGTGCTAAGCTCCGTAGATGCTAGCACGACACACGATCTTTTGGCCTAGGTTTGAAAAAGCGTGGAAAACATGGGGGAGGCTTTTCTACTAGCTAGTAAGAATGACGGGCTGCGTGCCGTTGGCCATGGAAGATGCATTAATACATGCGGATGAGGATTTAGGCATTCTTGCCTTGATCCTATGGTTGTCGTATGGCATGCCGGGGTTTCGTATAAGCACCGTCAGCGTCCTGGCCGCCCCCCTGGTCGGTTTGCTATTCCCACTTTATATATGTGCAATGTCCTCGGCATGGTCTTTTTTTTTCTGGAGACGACAATCCTCTTCATTCGTGGTAAGGATACTCATTTATCTCCGGATGGCAGATCGTTGAGAACAACCTGAACTTCTACTGACCTCGGATCTGGAGACTCTCTCTCGCTTGTTCGGTGTTGACTTTGCCTTGTCGATTTTTGCTTGAATAGAAACGACCAGAGGGTTTGTTATTGTTGTCAACTCATCAAGATCGTGTATCTGTCTTCAACAACCACCGCAACTATGCCCATCAAATCACTCCAGGCGCCAGTCGACGTCCCCCTCGTCGACATCTGGTCATACTACCTAGAGCAACCCAGAGACTATCCCGCCGACAAACGTCAGTACAACCTCATCTTTCCATTCTCACCTACAACTTCATACCCTCAAAGCCCGCAACAAGAACGGCACACTTCTCATCTTGCAATTCCCAACTAACACATCCCCCCCACACACAGCCATCTTCATCGACTGCGACACAGGCAGATCCCACTCCCTCGCCCAAATCAAACGCCTCGCCCTCACCCTCGGCCAGGGCCTCATCCACAGCCTCCAATGGCGCAAAGGCGACGTCATGGCCCTCTTCACGCCCAACAACATCGACGTCCCCATCCTCAACTTTGGCATCCAGTGGGCCGGCGGCATCGTCTGCCCCGCGAACCCGACCTACTCGCCCGAGGAGCTCGCCCAGCAGCTCACCGACTCTGGCGCAAAGGCCCTCCTCACGCAGAAGCCGCTGCTGGAGACGGCGAGAAGGGCCGCTGCGCTGGCGGGCTTGCCGGCGGACAGGATCCTGCTGCTGGGGGATGGGAGGGATGATGAGAAGGGTGTGCATCGGCATTGGACCGACATCACGGCAAAGGGCGCGCGCGTGGTGCCGCAGAAACCGGCCATTGATCCTAAGAAGGATCTGGCGTATCTTGTGTACAGCTCGGTGAGTACATATACCCCGTTCTTCGTAGGACGAGTGTTGCTGTGTGAATAACGACTGACGTCGAGCTTTGCCCATGTAGGGAACAACGGGCATGCCCAAGGGCGTGATGCTCAGCCACTACAACATCGTCGCCCAGGCTCGCCAGGGAGAGAAAGGCGACCTCAGAACCATCTCATGGGACACGGACGCCCAGCTCGGCGTGCTCCCCTTTTTCCACATCTACGTACGTCCAACCCCCCGTCCAAGAAGGGGGTACACGTAGCCAGCTAACACACACACGCATCACATAGGGCCTCGTCATTGTCCTGGCCACATCCGTCTTCACGGGCGCCACATGCGTTGTCCTGCCCAAGTTCGATCTCGAAAAGGCCTGCCGGCTGATCCAGGACCACAGCATCACCTTCATGTACGTCCCGCCGCCCATCGTCCTCGCCCTGGGCAAGCACCCCGTCATCGCAAAGTACGACCTGTCCTCCCTGCGATGGATCAACTCGGCCGCCGCGCCGCTGAGCAGGGAGCTGGCCGTTGCGGTGTGGGAGCGCCTCAAGGTCGGCGTCAAGCAGGGCTACGGACTGTCCGAGACGTCGCCTGCCGTCATGCTGCAGCTTCCGGAGGAGTGGTGGAAGTTTCAGGGGTCGGTCGGGCGGCTGTATCCTAGTATGGAGGCCAAGATTGTGGATGAAGATGGGACGGAGCTGGGCTACAACCAGGTAAGGACAATTACCTATCTGGAGGATAGGGTTCCCATGCTGTACTGCAGATATGCTGACGATTCTGGTATTCTAGTCCGGAGAGCTTCTCCTCAAGGGACCAAACGTCTTCTCCGGGTACTGGAAGCGACCCGAGCTGAACAAGGACACCTTCACCGAGGACGGCTGGTACAAGACGGGCGACATCTTTTACTGCTGTCCTAAGGGCAACTTTTACATTACCGACCGCAAAAAGGAGCTCATCAAGTACAGTAAGTCAAAAGCCTTCGTCTCCAGCCTCTGCCCTTACAAAGGCGTCCAATAGAGAACGCGACATGCACAACATCTTTACTCCTCACTCACATCCACGTTGGAAACCGGCAAACTGACCGTGATTGTCTTACAGAGGGCTTCCAAGTGCCGCCCGCCGAGCTCGAAGCCAAGCTCATCGGCCGCGAGGACATTGCCGACGTCTGCGTCATCGGCGTCTGGGACAAGGAGCAGCACACCGAGATCCCGCGCGCCTACGTCGTCCTCAAGCCCGGCGTCCCCGAGACCGAGGCCAAGGCGCGAGAGATTGCCGACTGGCTCAACGCAAAGGTCGCGCCGCCCAAGAAGCTGCGGGGCGGCGTGCGCTTCATCAAGGAAATTCCCAAGTCGCAGGCGGGCAAGATTCTGCGGAGGGTGTTGAGGGATCAGGTCAAGAAGGAGGAGGAGGAAGAGGAGGCCAAGGCGGCGGCGCCCAAGGCCAAGTTGTAATCTAGAGAAGGAAAGGGAGTTGAACGTCTGGTGCTTGTGGAATCGGGGCGTGGTGGTTCGCCCTAATTGTATAATTGTACAAATCGAATCAGGGTCCTGAATGACCTTGTTCGAAGCCTCGTCTAATGCCTATATAACAGATACATGTACACATGAACGGGCCTTGCCGCTTCAAATTTTTGGTGCTTCTCAACGGAGAGCCGCCCGTCTATTTCTCCAACCGTGTCCAAAGCCCAACATCCTTCATCCCATCCTTTCCGCCTCCTCCAGCAGCTTCTCGACGCTGAACCTTGAGTCGCCATTCGTAAACCACTGCAGCAGCTTCTTCCTCTCCTCCGCCCTCTCCTTCCTCTGCCCATCTATCTCGTCCCCCTTCTGCTCCCACCCGCCGTAGAACCGCTGCAGACACATGACCAGCCATTTCGCGTGGTCCGGCTGCACGCCGCGGCCCTCCATGACCTGTCCTTGCATCAACACCAGGCCCTTGTCTTCAATCAGATCCAGGTGATGCGTCACCGTGGTGTGCGGCTGCGCAAACTCCCCCCTCGTCTTATACTCGACGAGCTGTGTGAAGAGCACCGTGCTGGTCTTGGACGCCGCATCCCATGTCCACTGCAAAAAGTGCATCTCCGCGCCTTGGCTCTCGTGCGGTACCGGCAGGACGAAGAAGGGGCTGCTGCGCGCGAGATCCTCCATCGCCTTGTATGTCGCCGCAGGAATGACTGCGCACAACGTCTGCGGCGACGAGGCGTGGCGAAGGCGCCAGATGGCCGTGAGTTCCTTCTCAGGCAGCTCCGCCACCTTTTCGAGATCGAGAATATCCCCCAGCGGCTTGATCGCAGCCTTTTCTCCGGAAGCAGCCTTCTTCTTCTTGTTCTTGGGAGCGGCCTTTTCGGGCAGTGGCCCTCGGTTCGGCTGCGAGACGGGCGTGCCCTCGGTCTGTGGTATGCCGCCGGCCTTTGACAGCGCCTCTATTGAGGGGACGTCGACGGCGTCGTTCTTGCGCTGCGCCTGGATCTTGTCCGCGTACGCGGCCTTGAGGTCCTCGATGCTGCTGTGGCCCTCCTGCGACGCCTTGCGGGCGAGCTTCTCGCGGTACTTTTCGAGGATCGCCTGGGCGGGCTGCTGCGTGGTGTGGAAGCGGACGTCGACGACTTGCGCCCAGCGGCGCTGCTGGGCGGATCGGGCGGTGAGGCGCACCGGCTTGGTCGCGAGATGCCGCAGCGCGGGTAATCGGATCATTGTGTGCGTGTGAAGACTCGAGGTATCAGTTGGAGGAAGATGAGAAGAAAGCTGGGATATTTGTATCATCGTCGTCGAAGGAATTGGCCAGCCTTTGAAGCCCGAGGGCGGGATTCTTCCGTCATCGCCAGAAAAGTGGAGCTCGAAGCTCCAGAGAAAAAAACACCCCACCAAAGGCCGATGTTCGTCGAGCGGAATTGGAATCTCTGGCGTCAACTGCAACAAGGTACGCTCGTTTCTGGTGACAAATCCGTCGCTTCTCTTCCTCTGTCTTGACTTTACCTGGGCCAACTCTCAACCGACGCCTATCCCTTATTCCTTCCCACCTGAATCAACCATTGAGCCTCGAAGGAGCAGTGCTTCGCCTTGTCGAAGAAGGAGAGCGGCGGCTGGTTGTGCCAGATTTAACCCCGCGATATTGGAGATTTGAAGCTCAGACTCACCGAGACTTGCACCGTCAGTCGGATCCGGCTATTGGAGGACGTTCGGTGAACCAAACACTTTTCAGGAGCTTCTCTGGGGGACGACTCACCTATAGGTCGAGCCTTGAAACACCTGGGAATCACCAATCTCCGTACTACCTACCTATCCAAGAGAAGCTTCGAGTCATGGCCGACTTTCGGCAGCTGGCCCTCGACTTTGTCCTCGAGGAGGATGAAGCCAAGCTCACGGAATTGGCTCAAAGAGCGGCCAAAGGTAGGTTGCTTCAGACGGGAATGACATTATTGAGCATTGGAGGGGCGACATGTCTGACGTGCAATCCATAGAGCTCGAGGCGGCTCCCGCCAATTCCAACCCTGTTGCCCGGTGGGTAGAGGCTGTCCAGCCATGGATGCCGGGAAACAATGAGGCTGAAGATTCACAAGAGATGCCGGATTGGACATCAAGAGCAAAGGGTGAGCCCACATCTAATACATCTCCCTTCATCCTTTCAGCTGTCGTTCATGCTGCTGATACAATGCGCTTCAGCCTTGGAGTTCCTGTCCCGTACGCTGGACTTTGTGAAACCCGACCTCCTCAAGCCGAGTCAAGGTGAGCCTAAGCAGCCGGCGCTTCAATTGAGCAGAGTAGCTTACAGTGTCATCTTTTAGTCAAATTGTTGATTGCCTTTTTCGGTGCCATGCTCGACATTGATCACAAGGCGGGCATCTTGGCCTCGGCCTCGGCCTTGTCCCGGATCATCGAGATGAAGGCATTTCAGTCGCAGAGCGGCTACGACATCATCAGTAAAGTGTGCGGCATGAAAGAGGACTTTCAACGACAGACTGCCAAGACGCGCCTTGCCGTTTACGAGCTGCTGCGATCACTCATGGTCACCCCTGAAGTGGCCAGCAATCTGCAGCAACGCGATGGTGCCTCTTCTGGGTTCATGATGAATTTGCTGGAGCTGTGTCGCAACGAGAGAGACCCAGACTGCTTGATTGTGTGGTTCGACATTTTGAGAATCTTTCTCCAGCAGTATGAACCTTCACAAGAGGTTCTCGAGGCCGTCTTTGGCGCTTTTAAGGCATATTACCCCATTACGCTTCCGCGCTTGACGCAGAGCGGCATCACGCCGGAGGATCTCAAGTCCCAGCTGCGGAAATGCTTCTCGTCAACTCACCGTCTAGCGCCTCTTGCGCTGCCCTTTCTGGTAGGCAAGCTCGACCAAGGCGATGGCGTTACAGTAAATGTCAAGGTAAGTTGGCTCGTTCTCCTGGACGGGACAAATCTCACTAGTTCTAGGTCGATGTCTTGAAGAGCATCAAAGAATGCCTCGAGAAATACACGCATCCGGAGCAGTCCATTATCCCCTACGTGAGTCGCATTTGGGGCAGCCTCAAGTACGAAGTACGAAACGGAGAAATCGAGGATGCCATCTGGGCCACTCTCGAAGTCTTGAAAACGCTCGCCACGAGGCTCAAGGACGACGACCTCCGCAATTACACCCTGGATGTCACGCGTGACTGCGTCAACGACTTGTCGAATCCCATGTACACCACCCAGGCGGGCCGCCTCATCGTCAGTGTCCTCAGCGCAAACCCGAGCGCATTCGTTCTCATGGTGGCGCCGACAGTCACGCATCTCAAGGACAACTTACGCCACCGAAAGTCCGTCACTCATAGCCAGGACCTGCTCAAGATTCTGAATGTGATTCTGGAGACAAGGCTCCTCCTCTCACAGGCCCAGATGACGGATGAACAAAAGAGTGACTTCGTCGCTGTTGACGGCGTCTTCAAGAATCTCTACAGCGACGTATACAAAGGCCCCGTAGCACTTGGAAGCAATGTCAATGCCAACGAGGACGACATCAAAATCGCAACGGTGGCCGTTCAGGGCGTTGGCGCGCTGATCTCGCAAGGGACCGTACCCCTTGGGCCGGAGGATGAACGTCGCCTACTTCTCCCTGAAGCGACGTGCTCTGAAATTTGCCAGGCACTCTTTGCCATCCCACTAAGCGCTTTCAATAATCACTCAAACTCAAACTTGGATGACCTCCTGAACGAGACGGCCAAAGCCCTACACAGGGCCGTCCAAGCCTACGCGCCAGGCTTCAAACCATTGGTCGATCAGTTCGTATCAGTCGTCCGTGGCAGTCGCGATGACCAGAGCGACGAGGCTGCCGAGAAGATCCAAAAGATTGCTTCTTTGCTTGCCTATGTCGGATGCTCCGAGCTGCCGAAATCTCTCATCAACGGGAGACATAACTTCTTGGCTCTGATCCATGTCTTGACCACCGAACTGACAGCAGCAATAGACGCAAAAGCCAGCCCCAAGATTTGGTGTGCCCTGGTTGTGGGCATCCAAGCAGCTTCACGCTACTTCAACGACGCTTGCTTGAAGCATAACCCGGAGACGGACCAGGTATTCGACGGCACCATGTGGCTGTATCGGGCTACTTACAAGTATCCCGAGCTGCGATCCCTGGCCGGAGAAGAAGACGACGGCTCTGCACCAAGCTACAGCGGCGCACCACCACCGAAGGAAGCAACTGCCACTGAGCTCCGGAATGACGTCTTGCTCATTGGCCTGGTGGTTGTCAGAAGCCTTTATCGCCGCGCAACAGCCGCAGTCGGACCCATCCACGGCACTCAGAAGCCGGCGCTCCAGCTCAGCGGCGACTTTGACGGCTCCGATAAGCCCTCTGAGTATCAATATCTGCACCTTATTTCCGACTTTGCCGGTTTCGTCCTTCGTGAGATGGGTGAAGCTCAGCAGGTTTCACTGAAGCTTGACCACTACTTTTTGAATCTATTTCAGGACGAGTTAATACCAATTCCTGCTTCTACTTCCGAAGAGCAGAGAAAAGCGAGACTGGAAAAGTATACAGATGAGCAGGGATCGTCATGGGGCTGGTTGACGGAAAAGTCTGTCAACGTTCTTTCTCTGGGGCTTCTGGAGGCTATGAGGCCGTCTGTGGTTGCAAAACTGGTGAGTTGGCTCCTCAATTACTTCTTTATCCTTTGTTTTTTGCCGAGCACTAACCTGTTGAGTAGTTTGATTCTGGTGTAGCGCAGGAACTTTTGGTCAGCGGCACATTGAGTGCCTCTCTCAACCAGAGCTCCCTCACAAGACCCGTCACTAGATCCATCCTAACCATTCTGGCAAACAAGTACAAGATCGAGGGCATCAGCTACCTGGTGTCGCGACTAGAAGGCCGGTTGGATACGGCCCTTGAAAACGCGCAGAAAGCCGTCGACAGTGACGATGTCGCCCGCTATCTGGAGCAGGTATCCTCCATCTACGCAATCGTCAGCGGACTGATACGTCGACCAAGCGGCACGCAAGCCCGAGGCCTCATACAACGACTCCGGGAAGCCCCCCGGAACGAAAACACCGGCCACCTGCTTGCTCGACGACTCGAAATGCTCGTAGCCCCTCAAAAGTGCCTGACAAAGGAGAGCTTCGCCCTCGTCAAGCCCCTCTGGACGCAAAAGATTTACTTTGAGCTAGTCAAGCCGATGCTCGACACAGCAACCACCCAAGACCCCCAAGCCGGAAGCCAGCTCATCAAGACAAACTACCGCGTCGCGGTCCTCGCAATGGTCAAGCACATGCCCTTTGCCATATGGGAAGACAACTCGGCCGAGATCCTCCGGGCCGCAATTTCCCTGTCGCAGAACCTCGGCCCGGGACCAGACACCCTGCCGGCCCTCGAGATCCTCAAGCGTGTCCTCGCGGAAGCGCCCGCCACGGCCCAGGAGTACGTCAAGAGCCTCATCGGCATCTCGCTGCCCTGCTTCTCGGCAAAGGCCGCCTCGCAGCTGACGCGGCCCGCGTGGCTCCCGGCGGGCTACGTTGCCGCGCGGACGAGCCCAGAGGTCGGCGCCGAGTGCGGGCGGCTGGCGCTCGAGGTCGTCGGCGCGCTGCCGCGGCTGTTTGAGTCGCGGTTCGTGGTGCCGTTTGTGCCGCAGGTGAGGCGGGAGCTTTCGCTGGCGTGCGGGCATGCGGTTCGGGATCTGCGGAGGTTGGCGAGGATGGCTCGCGCCGCGTGGACAGAGATGAAATAGGGGGATAAAGAATGATGATGGTACGCGGGAGGATAGGGGTTGTATACATATAATAGATTTTTTGCGTTTGTTGGATCAGATCGAGAATCAAGATGGAATCTACAGACATTTTTCGCTGCTGCTGCGCTGCAGTTATACATTCGAGAATGGCGCTTCATAATCGTAAGCTGAAAGGAAAAGCTCACGCGAGTTAGGTATGGCGAGTCGGGACTGCGATTACAGGAAAGTGGTCATTCAAGATATCTCATCCATAATATCTCGCTTCATACATTCAATTCCATCCCTCACATCAACACCCCCATCCAGACTCATCCTTCAAGGTGTATCAATCTTGACATCATCCAGCCCCCTCGAAATAACCTCGCCCGCCAACTCAATCTCCAGCTGAATATCCGGCTGCGCCTCCTCATACAACCAATGCTTCTCCCCCGCCATCCTAAAATTATTCATCGCAAGCTCATGCGGAATAATACTCTTCTTCAACCCCGGGTTCCCCGCACACGCAGCCTCCACCTTCAACTGGATCTCACAACTCCTCTCCACGAGCCCCAGCAGAAACGCCGCCTCGTCGACCGTCTGCCCGACGGTGATGATGCCGTGGTTGATGAGCAGCGCCGCCTTGCCCCGGGGTCCCAGCGCCTTGGCAATCTGTTTCCCTTCTTGCTCGGCCGTCACGATGCCCGCGTACTCCGTGTCCACGGCCAGGACGCCGTACAGGTCGCAGATGTCCTGGGTGATCATGTCGAGGGGCTTGCCAAAGGCGCACCAGGCGCGGCCGGCGATGGTGTGCGCGTGGCAGATTGCGTGGATGTTGTGGCGCGCCTTGTGCACTTCCGAGTGGATGTAGTAGCCCGGGTTGTTTACAGGACGGGTCTGCCAGTTGAACGAACACCTTCAGTCAGGGTTATCTTGTCCTCTGGCCGCAATTCACATACATATATACATATATGTGTGTGTGTGTGTGTGTGTATGTAAGAAACAGGGGGATTGATCATGAAAGTTCTCATACCCGATTTCCGCCGACAATCTCGCCGTCGCTGATGCGCAAGCAAATCATGTCGCTGGCATTCATGAGGGCAAAGTGCTTGCCGATGGGGTTCATCCAGATGAGGTCTGGGAACTCGGGGTCGCGGACCGAGATGTGGCCCGAGATGCCCTCGGTGTAGCCGTTGCGGGCCCAGCTGCGGAAGACGGCGGCCATGTGCAGCACAATGTGCTTGCGGTGCTCGTGGAAGGAGGGGAAGGTTGGGATGCCTGGTGCGGCGGGAGGTTAGCAAGATGCTTGGACGAGGGTTTGTGTGTGATATGGTGGTGGATTGAGTGAGAGATGGGTCGGACATGGCATCGACCGACTACCTAGGTAAGGAGATGGACTATATACGAGATTGGACAGGGTGGTGTATGTGATGTATTTGATGAGTCTGAAGTGAAGTGAAGTGAAGTGAATGAGAGATGACTTCTGTACCTCGTAGAGGATTGGGCCCACGGCTGAGATTGGCCAGCTGGGTTTCCATCTCCTCTTCAGCGTCAGCCTCGGGAGCAGCAGCAGCAGCAGCAGCAGCAGTCGAGGCCTTCATCTTGATGATGGGCTCGTCGACGGTGGTTTCGGTAGCAGTAGGCGGCGCCATGGCGATGCTTCAGTGACGCTTTATACAAGGACGACAAGGCGGGAGACCCAACAGACGTTGTTGTCATTCAGGCTGTCATGCTATACCACTCCCGCTTGACAGCCCCTCGGGCATGGCCGTATTTATATGTCCCTTTGGGCATCTCCCACGGCCAACGCAAGGGGTGGAGAGGCTTCCCGATGACGGCCAATGGCCATGGCGCTCGCCGGTGGAAGCCTGACGTAAGTTGGTCCGGCGTCGTCTGAATGTCTGTAGTCAGCCGGCGCTCGTCGTGGGTTGCCGGTTGGAGGTGCGTGTCTTGTAGATGCATATGCACGTGTGCGGCGCTGATACAGGGGGTATGTGCATACAGGGAGCTCTCTGCCTTAGTAGGTAAGGTAGGTAGGATTAGTACAATACTCGCGATAAGGGACAATGCCTCACTTACACGTGCAGCTCTTGATGGACATTGATGGTAGGACATGACGGAAGGGATTGAGATGCACGCCCTCCAACGACACCTACTTTATGGGCCGTCCATAAAGGGTATAACAACCGCATGTGAATGCTTTTTGTCTGCAGCGGCTCAGGTAAAGATGCAGACAACATGCAATCAGCCACTTACACCCTCCGCCTAAGCCCAGAGCTGCGCCTCAACCGACGCTTTTGAATCGACATCGACCCCCCCCCCCCCCCCCCCTCTCTTCAGCAATTTCTCTCCTCAAACTACATCCTACACTTCCCCAAGACTCCCCCAATGGCGACCCATCACAAAGCCCTCAGGCTCTGCGTCAGCCTCGCCCGCCAGGCCCTCGAAGCCGGCGACTCCCCCTTCGGCGCCGTCCTCGTCAACGCCCACGGCGCCATCATCCACCAGGACCGCAACCGCACCGTCACGGGCGAGGCCGGCGACTTCCGCGCCGACGCGACGCTGCATCCCGAGCTGACCATTGCCCGCTGGGCGCACCTCCATCTGACGCCCGAGGAGCGCGCCGCGGCCGTCGTCTACACGTCGGGCGAGCACTGCGCCATGTGCGCCGCCGCCCACGCCTTCGTCGGCCTGGGCCGCATCGTCTACGTCTCGTCGACGGCGCAGTACGAGAGCTGGAAGGACGAGGCTGGCGTCGACAAGGGGCCGGTGGCGGCGCTGCCCATCAATGCGGTTGCGCCGCATGTCCCGGTTGAAGGGCCCGTGGCAGGGCTGGATCAGGAGGTCAAGGCGCTGCATCAGGCGAGGTGGCAGCGGCGGAGGCTGGAGGCGCAGGCTGGGAACGAGGGCTGAGTAGATGGGCTCGGCGATTGTCCATCATCATTGAAGGGGGGCTGACGTATCTTTGGACATTACCTTGACCGTCTAGGTCTTTCGTGGTATGTGAAGATTAGCGGGCACTCATCTAGAAAGACACGTTGACGCGACGTATATCATTATCCTGCTTCGAGCACTGTTGCCTGTGCCAGCTGGCACATGAGGGAGGTTGTCTCTTATAGCCATAAGCTGCAGCTAAGTGACTTCATTACTTGCCCATCTTTGCAGCACCTTTGATCGGGTAAGCTCACACAGTTCCTTGAAAGAAAAAGCAGCCTCCAGCTGCTCAAGCAGCATTGGCTCAAACACCCCTCGAAGAAGAAGAGGCTCGTCTGCAACGAAACGCTTCTGTCAGATTCCGTCACGTCCACTCATGGTTTGAACTCAATTCTGGATACTCATGTAGACGCAGAGGCAGCTTAGAGTGCAGTTTAGCACCGAATGAGAGGGTCGTCTGCCACTGGCCTGAGTTGGCCGTGCGAGAAGACTGAAAGATGAGTAGAATTACTAAAATTACCTCCGAAAATTGCCATGGTGTTGCAGAGGCATGCTTAGTCATTTATGGATGTGTTTCATGTCAGTTTTGGATGCGTAATTAAACACTTGGTTGTTGCTTCCTTGTTCCTACATTGTTTGGTCGTTGCTTCCATTCCTTGTGATTTCTACATACATTGTTCAGTTGCTGCTTCCTTGTTCAAGCTGCTTCTAGAGTACGAGCACGTGCGCCAGTTATTCTTAGTACCAACCCCATCGTGAAATCCTGTCTCTTCCAGGTCCTTTCGTTCATCGTTATCTAACTCCCTTTGCCGGGCGTCTTCTTCACGGGCATCGCAGCTTTTGAACACGGCAAAACATGACACAAACAAAGAAAGCAAGGCTGACCATTGCCGCTGTTGCCGTCGCTCTCGGTCCACGGGGGTTGAACCGATCCGCCACGATGCTGCACCAGCGGAAAGGGCTTGCTCAAAGGCAGGCGTCGCAGAGCTTTAGGCGATTCTCGTTGACACAGACAAAGCACGCGCGTGCAGTTGTACAAGGCTCTAGTCTGTGTGGGCTCCTAGGATGTATACACTGATGAGCAGCAGCGACAAACATTTTCCCCAGACCTGAACGATGGACAAAGGATGTCAAGCTCGCCAAGAGGGAATTAATAAACCAGCTCGGCACCTGGGCATGCATGTAATCAAATGCCGGCATGTGTATCTTGATATAAAGGTGCCTTCGCCTTTTTCACTACATTGGCGCATTGGAAGTCCGTCCTGGAGGGACGGGAGCAGCTCTTCGACGTCTCAACCATCTGAGCTGGTCTAATGTAAGTCGCCCTTTTCCCCCCCCTTCGCTCGCTCTAAAGGTAGCTTGCGAGGCCATCCTATTGATCTTTGGTACTTACAAGGGCGAACATCATCACCAAGCCCCCGGAGGCCATAATTCAGGACCTCGACGAGGCCCACGCTGACATACTCAAAATAAAAGAGTCAACAGGCATTGTTGGCCTGTCTGCCGCTGTTGTGCTCAAGGAGAGGGTCTTGTGGAGGGCGAACATTGGGCGCATGGGCGGGGTGAAACGAGAAGTGCCCGTGGATTCCGACACCGTCTTCCCTCTCGGTGCCCTGAGCCAAGGCTTTACTGCAGCTTGCGTAGCTCAGCAGGTGTACCGGAGAGGGCTGAGCTTTGACGACAAAGTTTCGGCCCATCTGCCTGCTGTTGCCGACAAGCACGCAACAATCGGCGATCTACTCGGCCATCGTACAGGACTCCAAGCGCCTGACCACTTGCTGCATTTAGATGACGGTGGCCTGTTTAACGACCGGCTCGCAGACGCCATCCGGGCTTTCAACTCCCTAAAGCCTCTGGCAAGTGGACGGCCCCGATTCCTACATAACAGCCTCGGTTACGCCCTCCTGGGGGCCGTCGTGGATCCTAGCTACCACAACTACCTGCAGAAGAATGTCCTGGATCCCCTCCAGATGACCAATACCAGGATGTCGACATACGCGAGGTACGATCATGGGAACACGACCAGAAGATTCAGTGCTCTGGATCATTCTCGAGTGTGTACATATGACCCGAGCGAGTTCAGTTTCAACTCGGACGTGGAGGATGCCTCGGTCGCTGTCGGAGGCATGAGCAGCAGCTCAAATGACATGGCCAAGTATTGCATCGGCCTCAACGAGGCCTGGAGGCGCCGGGGGCCTGCAGGCAATGCGAGGGCTCAGAAGATCAGACGCGCGCAAGTCTTCCCCGATGTTGATTTGCTCTTCGACCCGCTGCAGTCAATGGGGGACGATGCGCCTGATGGAACGGCCAAGAAGAGTCACGCTGCCGGCTGGATGACGTGCACTCTGCCAGCTGCGCTTGGCGATCTCGGAATCAACGCGCAGCTGATGGAAATGCCCATACTCGGATCAGGCTGTGCCCCGGTCACGGTCGTATGGAATCAGAGCAGGTACCACGGCACCAACGCCTTTGTCGCCCTGCTGCCGGAATGCGAGGCCGCAGTCATCGTGCTGAGCAACACAATGACTGCAAACGACGGCGTCGACTGGATTGGGCAACTACTGATCCAGACACTACTAGACCATCCGTACCCCAACAACTATCCCCTGCTCGCCTCAGTGAGCGCCGAAACCGCGAGGCTGAGGTATGATGAAGTCGGCGCAAGAATAGCCCTCTCCAAAAGACCCGGAGGGCCCCCGAGGCCCCTCAGCCAGTACTGCGGATGCTACAAGTGCTATTTCCCGCCGTACTTTATGCGGGTAACGCGGCCCAGAATGCGGGACAGGGTGAGGTTCAAGAAGTGTCTCAGGATCGATCTTCGAGAAATCGATGGATTCCCACTGCAACACCTCTACGAGGATACATTCACATGGTTCCTGCCTTGGGATCAACGGGTCAAGGCAAGACTCAAACTCGACTATCGCCCCGATTACTACCTCATGAGGTTCCAGCCAAGAGAGGATGGTAGCGATATAGAGTCGCTGGTGTGGATCAACGATCCAGCAAAGCCCGAGGGGCACGTCTTCCCTCGCATCAGCCGCTCGGCCTCGTATCCGTACTGGCGGTGCTGAACGCCCGACTTTGGCTACACATGCAGCATTGAAGCAAATCCATCTTGTGTGTCTTGCTGCTGCTGCTGCTGCTGCTGCGTACTTGGGATAGAAGAGATTGGTATGTTTTTCACCTGCTATGCCGGTTTGCCAGACCACGTTACTATACAAGTACCTGAGTACCTTATGTATTAATAAGTGCTTCCTGCTTTCAAGTTGAAGAGACGAACAACCCTCTCTACTGTGTAAGGTAGGCAAGGTAAGGCAGGCACCTAGGTAGGCAGTTCCTCCCTCGAATTCTGCATGGAGCATGTGATTGTGCGGCGGCAGCGGCGCGGAGCTTGAAATGCGGGGAAGCGGCTAGCAACTGGCCGCTAGGGCCTAGTCCGCACTAGCGCCTTGCTGCCCCCGGGATGCTCGTGTGCTCCGTGTGAGAAACTGATGTCGGCTGGCTGCATACAGTACAGTAGTATTACCTTACCATGGAGCCAAGCTGTAGACTAGGTGTTGGATGTCTTGCAGAAAGGGCAATGGATTAGTAGTGACATCTTGTGGCTGCTGAAAGAAATGACCTCCGTTCACTCAAGACTGCCGAACGCTTAGACAGATGCCTCAAGGGGTCTGGTGAAGCTGAGTTCGAGATCCGCAGCTCTCTTTCAGAAGGGGGTCTTCATGCTCAGGTGCCCACGTAATAAGGTGCCTAAGGTAAGGTAGGTAGACGTACGAGTACATGACAGTCATATGCCCCCCAAGGCCCTGATTCAACTCGGCTACTTTGCCAGTCAGCCAGCTAGAAAGGATACATTATACTAGCAAAATTTACAGGTTAGCATCTCTTATACTGCAAAAATCCTGGTAACAGGGCTAGACTAAAACCAGATACTATAATCTTACCGCCTTTAGCAAGATTTAACTTTAATTAACGCATTCTTATTATTCCAGTTTATAAATACCTTAATTTATATAGCAATATAGCTATTTTTAAGGTTACTATAAGCTAAGCGTTAGTAATCCTATTATTATAAGTTAGGTTATTATTTAATATAGTAATATAATAGTTAAATAAATAAACGCTCTTCTTCCTCTCCTTACTTATTAAGGCCTAGCGGCATGGCCTTATAAATTTAATAAAAAAAGTATACCTGCAAGAAGGAATTTAAACCCTCATTCTATATATAATTTAGCGCTTTCTAAGGCATCCCTAAAAGACTAAAACTCTTAAAAATAAGTACTAATATTTAAAAAAGTTTTAAAAAGTATTTACTATAGCTAAAAAGATATTAGGCACTATATATAACTTAAAGACTAGGAAGCTATTAATAAGTAAGTAAAATAAAGATCTTATTATTATATAGCATAGTGTAATAAGGCGTTAAGTTATATTAGCCAGTCTTTTTATTAGTAATAAGGTAATATTTAACTTATAGTAAGAGATCTTTTTTAATAACCTGCCTGCTGGTGAGAATATTATAAAAGTAAGTAATAAGGCTGCCTTTACTAAAGATAGCCAGCCTAGGGCCCTAGAAGGTACTATTATTTATAAGGTTTCTAAAAATATAAATAAAAATATAACTTAGCCTATTACTAATAAGGAAGTTAGTAATCTTATAATACTATTTAATAGCAGTAATAATAAAGATGCTAGTTAACTATTAGTCTTATTACAGCTAGTAATGCTATTACCGCCGCTAATGCAGCTGCTGCTAATGCAGCTGCTACTAATACAGCTGCTGCCTTTATTACTACTACAGCAATCTTTATTATTACAGCTGTTACTATTAAGATATCTAGTGCCTTTAATACTGCAGGCAGCATTAGCTAGGCTATTATAATTATTATTATTAATAATGCTATTAGCAGCAGTTAAGGCAAATAGCCTTACAGCTAGGAAAAAGAAGAAGGCATTAAGGCTAAGTGAATTAGCTAATAGCTTTTATAAGCTTACTTCTGCGCTTATAGTATATAATTTATAGCAGCAGCAGTAAATAGACTATTATATTACTTATAATTAGCATACTGTTAAAGCAGAGGACTTTAAAAAGGCAATTAAAGATTACTTCCTTTTTATAAAGGAATAAGGGATGCTATTTATTAGCCATTTAATGCACTAGATTTATAAAAATTAGCTAAATTTATTAATATAAAATTTAATACTATTTAAAAAGGCAAAAGATATATAGGTAGTGCTTAATTTTCTACTAGATTCTTAATATCTTAATATTAAGTTATAAATAGCTTTAAAATATAACTTAGTAATAGACTATTAATCTTCTAGTCTAATATATTTACACTGCCCTCCCTCCTTATACTATATAACACTAAAATAACCTTAAATAGCTGCTATAACCTTAACCTTATTATTATTATTATTATTATTATTATTATTGCCGCTAAGGCTATTTTTATTATTAAAATAGTTAGTATTATCCTCTTCCTTTTCTAAATACTGCTAATAATACCTCTAGGCTTATAAAGTAATATACTTCTGCATTTTATTACTATTTAATAGCATAAGAACTTTATTAGTATATTCCTAGGCAGATTCTATAAGATTCTATTTATTTTTAGTTAAGCTAAGTCGCTCCTCTTTATAGTATTGCTTTAATATTCTCCCTTTAAGCTTAATAAAGTTAAATAGGCCTGTAATAGTATATATAATCCTAATCTAGTCTAGTAATTTATATTCTGCTACGCTGCATTAAATTATCTTCTATTTACATTTACATTAACTAAAGATATACTTAATAATAGTCCTCTTCTAGGCATGCTATAAGTTAAAGAGTTCTTATTTATTTTAAGGCTGCTAAGCTGCTATTCCTTAGTCTTATAAATAATAATAAGTGTTATAGTTATATAATGTAATAATGCCCTTCTACAGTCTAAAGCCAGTATTACTAAGCTAGTATTATCCTTCTAGTAATTTAAATAATAAAGTTAAAATATACTGCAGTAATAATAAGTTATTAATTAATCCCTTAGCACTAGTAATAATATAACTAAATAGGCTATTAAAGGTAATAGCTATAAAAACATTCTATAAGATATTATTCTTCCTTAACTAGAATTACTGCTGCCTTACTTTAAGGATATAGGCTAGAATAAGTATGCTATTAATAGCCCTAATTACACTATTAAATATAAGGAATTTAGTATTAAGCTTAATAGCTGGCAATAGGTATATTACTTTTAGTTACTAAATGAAATATATATATAAATACTGCATAAGATCTTTTAGTTTATAAAATACTTAAAATATAATGCTTTAGCTTATTTAAAATCGCAATGCTATATTCCTCTATGGCTTACTATATATATAAATCTATAAAAATACTATTACTTTTTATTTAATAAATTACTACCAGTTTCTAGTTATGCTGCTGTTAGTATATAGCCACTAGTAAAGGGAGAAAAATATAGCTTTTTTTATATAAAAAAGGGTAATAAATAATGCATTTAGCAAGCCTAAGAGCTAAAGGTAATACTGCCTTAAAGCTATAGAAGTTCCTTTTAAGATAAGTGCAGCCTTATTATTAGCAGCAGCCAACTCCTTATTAATTATAAGCAAAATGCCAGGTAGGTTATTAACAGGCTTAACTATTAAAGTAATAAATGCTAATATAAAAATAGCTATATAAAGGTTATCTCTATTCTAGCGCTATTTTTAAATTACTGCATTTAGCACTAGCTGGCTAATACCTATTATATTGCCTGTAATTAAATTTATAGTATTATAAAAAGCTCTAGCTAAGTATATATAAAAACTAGTAAAACAGTAAGTATATTATCTAATGCAAGTATAAATAATTTTTTTTTATACTTATTATTAATAGAAATTAGCAGAATTTCTATATAACTCTTAGCGACTAAGCTTATAAAGGTTAAGCTTATGGCCCCTGCTAGTATAGTATATTAATGCCAGGGGTTAGGCAGGGTTTATTATTAATAAGGTATTTTTTCCTAACTTTATGCTGCAAATCCCTACTAAATTGAGGATAGTAACCTTTTTATGCATCTAGCAAGCTTCTGTACTTGCAAACAAGCCGAGTTGAATCACGGCCTAAACCGGAGCTGTCCATGGCCGGTATTTCTGGCTGATGTCTAGAATACCTTACATGCATATGCATGACCACAAAGCTCTGTGGACGAATGCGCTTGCGTTCCTGCCATCGGTCCCAACACTGTACGAAAGTATGCACTTCTGTACATGCTGCATGTACTGTAGATCGAGGCAAAAACCCAAAGTACCAATAAAGGCCGGATTGGGCTGAGACGAGGTTTCAAGTCATTCATGCCTTGCCATGCCATGCCATTAAAGAGCGAAAGCAGCCTCCCCAAGCTCCCCTCGCCCCTTCCCTCTTTACTCTTTGCCTCCCAGCTCGTTTTGATTCCCTTTTTTTCCCTTTTCCCCTTTCCTCCATCTCTTCCCCCTTTTCCTCTTTGCTTTGTGCAGCAATTCTTTCTGTCAGCTTGGGTACTACTGCTCCAGCTGCTGCTGCACAGTACATCTCATCGGATCCAGCCGAAACGGACATCTCCGCTTGTCCCCAGCAGGAAAAGGCAAGAAGAAAAAAAAAAAAAGGAGCAGCTGCAAATCGTCTGCATCAGCGCGGACGTTTTAATAGCCCGCCCGCTATTTGACAACCCCTGTGTGCATGTGCAGCGCAGAGTTAAAAAAAAAAAAAAAAGGAGCACGACCCAACAGCAAAGCGGCAGCCGAGCTCAAGGTATGTCATACTAGTCGTCGTTAAGCATCAAAGAATCAAGCAAGGGTTGTTGAAAGGGGGGAGAAGAAGGGTAAAAGGAAAATGAAGGAGTCCAAAAGCCAGAAGCGAATGTCTCTGTCTGTGCCACTCGGGTGGTGCGGGACATGAGCACATGATGCAGAAAAAGAAAGAAAGAAGAACAAGAAAGAAAAAAGAAAGAAAAGAGAGCTCCAATTCCCACTCTGGCGTCTATTGAACTCCCCCCGTTCCCTAGCTTGTGACATTTGAAAATGCAACGCTGACTCTTTGCTCCTCTCGGATCTTGATCGCTCAAACAGCGTCACGCATTGCATCACGCATCATACACAACATCATCATCCGATCGCTGCCTGGCCTCTCCCGCGGGTCCACCGCCCTGAAGCTTAATCAGCCCATTCGGCTCGTGTGCCTCCCGGCGTCTCTGCTTCTGCTTCTCCTGTTAACTCGTCACAAATCATACGAACTGCATTGGATCGTCAGCTGCAGCTACCAGCCTTAGCGGTGGAGCTGGCCGGCTTATCCAGGGCCTCGGATCAGTTGACGAAAAAACACGGGCTCGGCACTCTGGGCTTCGTCTCCCTTGCAACCCTTGCCCTCAAGCTCTGAACGAAGACTCTTCTACTTTCTCTCTTTCCTTCTTTCTTTTGTCTTTTTCCCTCGATTCCCCCGTCTTTTGCCTTGGCTAGACGCACATGATACACTCGCTTCACCTGATTACGTTGAAGGGAAACACCAAAAGAAAAGAGACGGAATTTACCTATATCAAAACCAATACCTTACGCAAAACAAAACACCAGCATGAGCGACTCAGCCGACGGCCCTCCCCTGTTCCGACCCATCCCCCGGCGGCCCTTTGTCTTCGACCTCAGGAGCTCCACGCCGCAGAGCATAACGCCCCCCAAGGACGACGACGACAGCGACGACGATGAGCAGCGCCTCGCCGACGAGATCCTCCTCGACCGCTTCCGCCGCGACCTCCTCAAGTCCGGCTTCGTCGGCTCGCGGCCCTCCAACGACTCTCCCCCCGACTCCCCCCGACTCCTCGCCCAATCAGACTCCGTCGCGGACCTCAATTCGTCGACGCTGGCGGGGATATACGACTGCTCGGATCAGGAAGACGTCTTCAATGGCGCCGACGATGACGAGGACGAGGAGCTGCGCAGCCCCTGGGGGACCGGCGCCGAGTCTCCGGTGAAGCGCCGAGACAGCCTCAGCCGCGGCACGTACGAGCTCATGCGCGACCGGTCAAGACGGCAGTCATATGCCAGCACCGATGCGAGTCGACTACGGCAGCAGCAGCAGCAACAGCACCAGCAGCAACAGCCCCCTAGTCCTGCGTCCAGGGCGGCGTGGCTGGCTTCGCGCGCCCTGGTGCTGTTTGTGCTTGGGGCCGGATACGGGGTGCTCGTCACGCATCTGCACCAGGAGCAGGGTCTTCTTCAGCTGTCCGACGCCGGCACCGGGATGCCACGATACAACGGCTCGTACACGGCCATGTGGGGGTTCGCATTGGCGGGCGTTGCCATGGGCGCGCTGCAGCCGTGGGTGGACGGCGAGTGGGACAGGATATTTGGTCGCCAACAGGACCAGGAGCCCGAGGCGGACTCTGACGAGTCGCTGCCGGACGACGCCGCCAAGCTGGAGACGGACTGGACGCTAATAATGAGGGCAGTTGGCGTGTTTGCCGGCGTCGCCTTTGCCGTGGTGAGTGAAAAGCCTCGTGTCACCCCCCCATCTCGAGGAGTTTGTACGACCAGTTTTGTGCTGACATGTGACGACCAACGCAGCGCCGCCTCGCGTGGACGTCGAGCACGCAGGTCTCGGTAGCCATGGCGCTGGTCAACATCTTTCTCTGGTGGCTGATTGACCGAACCATGGCCGCGCTGGTCGTGTCCACGATTGTCGGCGCCGCGGGGACCCTGTTTCTGCTGAGCGTCAGTCCCGACGTGATTCGGGCTCCGTCAACCACCTTGGTCACGCAGACGCACAATGTGTCGTCTGCCGAGCCGTCCGCCGAGCCGGCAGCCACGATACTAGGCGGAATTGCGAGCCCGGAGACTGTCGAGGCGGGCATTTGGATCCTCAGCGTGCTGTTCTGCACCTGTCTCTGCTTTGGCAACATTGGCCGACGGTTGGCGAGAGGGAGAACAAGAGGGCGTTGGGACAGGCAAGATGCGTGCAGTCGATGATGATTTTCACGACCGTTTGAGAGGTTTCTTTGGGTCCTTGCCGGCATCTGTTTACGCCCAGAAGCGTATCAAATGAGGATCGGTAAAGGGATCAGGCGATACATCTGCGAGGCGCATATTTCCTTGCATCATCTTGAGGCTTTGGCGAAGCCATTGCATACAACATTATAGCGACACCACGGATGGGACTGCGGTTTGTTTTGGGCGAAATCTTGGGTATGATGGCACTGTCGCATGACATTTGCTTCATTTTGGGAGTTGGATCGTATTCCGTTAGTGGTTATCTGGCTCATGGACGGGTTTTTTCTCCATAGAAGAGGCGCTCAACTCGCCACAGAGCGACGAATGGAACTGGAATGGGAAATGTTTTATGTTGATCTTTGAGTCCTTCATTTCGAATATGGTATCTATTTGCTTGCTTATCCCCCTCACCCCCCTCGTCCTCTCCAAGTCGGTGCCTGAGAATTCCTTACTTGGTATAACATGCAAAGGGCCTTGGTGTCTCTTTTTATTTTCCCTTGGGTATCCCAAAGAGAGCAGTTGATTTGGTGGATTTTTTTTTTTTTACTGCTGCTTAAAGGCATCGACGACGGCCTTTGACGCGGCCTGGATCTCGGGCGAAACGGGGCCCGCCATGCCCATCATTGCGCGCATCATGGGCGGGCCGGAGACGAGCTGGTCGAGGGTGATGGAGCGCGTGAGGGCGTCGTTGAAGAGTTGCTGTGCGGCGGCATCTCCTCTTGCGGCTGTTTATTTTTCGAATACACAAACAACAATAAGCATCATGTACACAATCGTCATCAAAGCCCCATATATCACACACACACACACACAGACACACATACATACATACACACCTCTCATAGAACCATTGAAAGTCCACGTATGTGTGTGTGTGTGTGTGTGTGTAATACACAAGGACAACAGGATCCAAGTCGAACGGAAAAAAGGGAGGAGATGAAAGGTCAAAAAAAAAAAAAAAAAAAGACTTACTGATCTTGATCTGCCCAGGCAGGCGAAACTCATAACCAGGCTGTCTGATATTATCCACCTCAGAAAGCATGTACTCCGTCCTCTTTGCGAAATCCCACATGTGAAAGAGGCCGCTGGGCGAGGAGCGGTCAAAGGCCGGGTCTGACTCGATGGTTTGGATGAGGGTTGTGAGTTTGGAGGAGATGGCGGTGCGGGTTTCGGGGGAGGGAATGTTGGACATTTTGGGCGATTTTTTGATGTTGACTTGGTTCTAGTGTAAGGGTTGGGAATTGGGGAGTTGTCGGCGATGTATGAATTTGGGTGAGTATAAGTGGTTAAGTGGTGTTGAGTTGTATGAGGGAGGAGTGATTTGGGCGGAATGAAGGAGAGGATTGAGATGGTGAGAAGCCGATCAGCTTTTCTTTTGGTGTCACTAAAGCTCTGCTGCATATGTCATAAGTGGGCTTGGCCCATACAAGCGCGTCCAAGTCGCGTCTTGATGAACCACTTAACGCGTCTTCCCCCACGCGCATCACTTTAACTTGCATGCATGAGATGACAAGATCCGTCGTCAATTGCACCGATTGCACTGCATCTGCTATTCACATGTCATGTTCATGATACTATTAAGTCTATTCTAGTCTATCAAGTCGTTACCGCTCGTGAAAGCCGTCATTATCTGTGCCTGTAATTCATCCATATCTCCAACATCCATCTTTAATCACGTACGCCCTGCCCGTCTATATCAGACTCTGCCTCAACTCCTCAACAACCACCTCAACTTAACCTCCCCCCCTTCATCACGACTGCTGGTAGATGGTGCACCTCCACGCAACAAACGCAGCCGCCGCAAAGCTCACCGCCATGGCCCCCCAGACCTCGTGCCGCTGCATCGCCCAGTGCGTCGCCAGCCACCGCGCAACGCTGCCCGCCACGACGCCCATCCAGCCCACGAAGAAGCCCGTCTCCCACCAGGCCTGCCGCGCGCTGTCCTTCTTGGCCAGCTCGCTGCTGTTGCGCATGCTCGTGCCCCAGCCGTCCGCCGTCAGCGTCAGCAGGCTCCAGACGTGCACTGCCGGCAGCGGCAGGTGGTAGAAGAACATGCCCGGCACGATCCATTTCAGCGACGCCCGCTCCAGCCGGTGCGGGTTGCGCAGCAGGTTGTACAGCGCGCTGGCCGCGATGCGCACCAGCACGTCCGACACAAACACCAGGATCAGCCGCTCGCCCGTGAAGAAGTACCACAGCGCCGCCACAAAGGCGATGACGGGGCCCAGCTCGCGCTTGCTCATGCTGTAGAAGAGCAGCGGGTGCGTCACCAGGTACACGCGCGGCTGCAGCAGCGACTCAATGTGCGTCGCCCGCGCCCACCGGACCTGCTGCTTGAGCCAGCGCGCCATCGTCGTCGGCGTGTCCGTCGCCGCCAGCACGTCGGACGCGAAGACGACGCCCCAGCCGCGCAGCAGCAGGTTCGTCGTCAGGTGCCGGTCCTCGTTGATGATCATGCGCTTGCCCATCAGCGTCTGCAGGTACCACGGGATCAGGATCGCCGGCATCGCCGCCAGCCGGAACACCGTGCTCGGCCCGCTCTGGCAGTCGCTCGTCGCCGTAAACGCCGGCATCGACCGCGTCAGGTACAGCTCGCCCCAGTACACCGTCGCCGCCAGGTTCGTCACCGTCGTCTCGTACCCGTTGTGCACCACCAGCCCCGAGCTGGCGCCGCCCACCGTCGGGTCGTGCGCGATGGCGTCCACCGTCTTGTGTATCGAGTCCGGGAACACGAGCGTGTCCGAGTCCGACGACCACAGGAACTCGACGCCCAGCACGTCGGCGATGACGAGCGCAAAGACAAACGTCGTAAACATGACGCCCTTTTTGTGCATGTGTCGCTGGCGGAGGCACAGGTGTCGCACGCTCGCCAGATCGACCTTTTCCTGCTCCAGAATGGTCCGCGCCAGCTGAAAGCAGTGCCGCATGGCAATCTCGTAGCACTCGTCCAGGTTGACCGGCTGGCCGTTTTGCTTGCACACCGAGATGTGCTTGGCGATGAACTGCTCTGCCACCTCGCCCAGTGGCTGAGGGACGTGAATCACCTTGGACTGGGTGGGATATACCTGTGGCCGTGTCAGTCGCTTCTCCCCTCACGTGTGCCTCGAAGAAGATATACTTACGTAGTTGAAGACGTCAACCATGTCCTGATCGGCAGCCTCATCTCCATCAATGCCAACGAGCATGAACATGCAATGCTTCGCGCTCTTGTAACTCTGCAGCGCCCTCGCAAACAAGGCAGGATCCTCCCGCCATCCCACCACAGCGGCCATAGAGTCCAGTCTCGACTGCGGCTCAATCTCCGTCACCGAGAAGCCAACTTTCTTCTCATCGTAAAAGCCGTCATCGCTCCTCTCATCCCGTGGAGAAGCCAGCGGCCGTTCAGGCGGCTCCTCCTGTTCGTAAAACTGCAGTCTCCGGCCTTCGTTTACCAGCCGGTTCAGCTCCGTCAGGACAATGGTCAGGATGAGGTCCAGGGTGACGGGGTATCTGCAGTGGACGCTGACGGCCCAGTAGGCGGGGGTAAGGAGTAGGCAGCCGACGACATTGAGAAGCATGCGTAGGTAGGACGTGGGCCGGCCCTTTGTGACGATGGGAATGGAGCCATTATGGAATGGATCCATCATTGTCAACAGCGGGAAGGGGTGTATCTTCCTCGAGGTTGGGAGTAACAGCTGACCAAGGTGGTAGGACGAAGACGGGATGCGAATGAGGTAACGAGCGGCAACTACAACACTGAGTAGATGGTGGGCAGTTGAGCAGAATGCAACAAGCAAGATAGATAACAAAAAGTTAGCGCCGCTGGGCCTTTAACATCTCCCAAAGCCCTGCAGAACGGCAAAGAAAAACAAGAATAAAAAGACTTGGCTCGTTAGGCAGAAGAGCCGCAAAGGTGCAAAGACGTAAATAAAAAGGGGGGGAAAGGCTAGGTATGGGCCTCGTGAAGTCCAGGCTAGCCAAAGAGGTCCCGTCAACTTCTGCCTTTATTAGCTATTACCTACTTGGCACGGCACATGGATCTCTTCGGAGGCTACTGCATGTGGGTGGTAAGGTAAGGATGGATACGAAAGCTCAGCCGCTTGCTGGATGACTTACTTCGTGATTAGGATGGATGCCAAGTGTTTCCTTCTTATTGCTTTCTATCGCATTGCGTTCGTCGAGCTGAAGCAGCGGATGTCCGACTTTCGAGGCAAGTCGTATAGATAGTGTTGTCAGTCGTGACACGGCATGAGAGCAATACTTTGGCTAATTCGGCCATGTGGCGCTCTCGATACTTGGAAAGTTCCGAGGCCCGAGATTGACAAGGAAGACTTTGTTGTCATGGGTACCTGATTGCATCAGTACTCGGGAAACTGTGAGATCGCGCTGTTGTGTATGGTTGTGTCCAGTTTCTCAACCGAAAAGATCTCCAGACTTCATTCTAGTACTTCCCTTTGTGATACCGAATCTCTCGTCGTGTCTCTCTTTGCTGCTCCTCGTATACACTCGTCAGCCCTACTGGCTTCCCTTCACACCCTCGTCGTCTTTCTGTCAAATTTTCCTCGCTCTCACCAAACGGCTATCGCCTTCGCGTCTACTATTCCCGCGAGCCAAGGAATCAGCACAGCCCTTGTCACTGAATCCGCCTCTCCGTATAATTTCACGAGAGTAGCGCGCATTGGTCCACACTCCCCTTGGCGAGAAACGGGCGGGCTAGCTCGAGCTGTCTCTAGCGCACGCGGTACAGAATAGACCATGCTCACATGGGGGAGAAGAGAGACAGGGGGGCGTGGTTGAAGGATTCGCATCACGGATTCACGGATGGGCTAGTTTCGACCCAAAAATATCGTCGGTGGGCGAAAAAACTTGAACCGAAGACCTTTCTGGCCGTCCGGCAACTCGTGGGTTCGGAAATGCAAATGGAAGGATTTGTATCCTTGCCCTCCCTTATTGCTCTCCAGGCTTCTTGATTCTGTGTGTATTTGAGAGTTGACAATGCGCAAAACGCTATGAATCTGAATCAACCGAAGGGTTTCCTAGAGCTTGCTGCTTGGACATCAGCGTGCGATATCGAAAGAATGGCACCTTGTGTGTATAACTCGACCTGGCTGTCTTCAGAACCTTTCCTGTGGCCGGCGCTTGTGATCGACACCATCTATCGGAAGAGGCTGCGGGAGGATCCATAGTTCTTACAGAATCACAGATGAAGTCGCCAAAGTCAGTGCGTAGCAGTTCGATCTGCACATTCGTTCTTGATACCGAAACTGCGGTTGAAGCCCTTGACCATGGCCGCGCTTTTTCGACCTCCTACTCGCCAGCTATGTACGCCGCGAGCAACCATGCCTGCCGCGGAATAAACAGCGACCCTGCACGGTTTGAGTATTAGGGCGAAGAAGAAATTGATAAGTTGGTGGCCTGGCTTACACTTGGCCAAGATGGAAACGACACCTCGGAGAAAGGATGTGAGCTTGCAGGCGCGTGGGCCGTGATGACTCTTCTGCTAGACATGTAGTTGCAGACAGTATCTCCTGATCAGCCTCTGAGCTCAAACAGCTTCTTGTTGCACGTCAACTCACTTAACATCGTCGTCAACAAACGCTGTGTTCTCAAAGATGCAGCTTTGTATACAGTCACCAGCTGCCTGGAAGATCCTCATCCTGCCGGTGTAAGTCGTCGACTAACGAGGCATTCATTGGTGCATCCATACGAAGTCGTGCAGCGCCGTCGTCTGTGTGACCCATGTCGAATATCTTCCAGACGAGCGAAAAGCAGACGATTCCCGATGCCAGGTCCACTCCTACTAGTCGTAACGTTAACCTTACCTTACTCGTACGAGCGTGTAACCACACGCAATGCTTAATCTCCGACGCCGCCACCCGTCCCGTACCAGACCGTAAAAGAACCACTGAGAGATCTGTCAGCATTCAGCATGACGAAATATAGACAGGAAGAGGAAGGGGGGGACAGAAGAAGAACAAAAGAACGAGCCACAACAGATACTTGACGTCCACAACTATGGCAAAGAGCGTAAAGATGCAAACCGTGAAGAAAATGGAACCAAACACCAAGCAGAATATCCGTCAGAGCCGGGAATGGGTCGGAGGACCCGACTTCTAACAACGGCGCCGTTCTCTTCACATTAGCCGCACGCCAACCAGGGGCTGAGTATTCCTGGTCCGGCAGTTACCCGTTTTGGCAATGTGCACCTGGGGCCGGCCAGGGGCTGTCATGAGGCAGACAGGCATTGGTTCCTGCTCCTTTGGTGCTCCGTACCTCGTGCTTGGGATTCGTACAGCGTCTCGGCGCTGTTCAGCTCGTACAAGCAGCTCACGGCTTGGCGCAGCAGGAGTCATGCGAGCTCAAGGGGCTGTTTTTCATCTCGTCTTTTCGTAGGCACCAGTCGCCAGACACGAGCCCGAGTTCGCAGCCTTTCTCTCGGCCTGCCCAGCCTGTTGATGAAGTCATAATAAGCCACAGACCCCTTTTACAGGCAATTTTGGGACTTACACGGGAAGCGTCAGAATAACTGACGATCCGGCTCGGGCGTGACATTTCCGGCGCGAGATCGACAGCGGGACTGAACTCGTCGTCCTCTCGTTCTGTCTCCCCTTCTCTTCCAACCCCGTTTCTCACAATCGGGTCTTTTTCTTCGTTCTTCGTCTTCTCGCTTCTCTCTGCACGCATCTGCTTTCTGGGATCCAGTGAGCGGACCAGCATTGCCTCACAATGTTGGTAACGTACAAGAACAACCGGCTGATACCAGCGCTCATCATCGCCGTGTGTTTTACGCTCTTCTACTGCCTTATCGACCCGTCACTGGAGAATTATGGGTATAATCCAGAGGCAAAGCAGAAAGGCATCGTGGTAGAGGAGGTGCAGATGTCTGATGGCCAGCGGAAGCTGGTTGAGCTCGACAAAGCCCCAAAGACGGAAGCGCCAGAGTTGCCCGCCAAGGAGGTCCAGTATGTCGCGCCAACTTCCAGTCACCAGACAGCAGACGAGGGCCAGACGCCCAGCAAGGCCATCTCGTACAATGGCCTGTCGACGGATGACGTCCTCCTGATTGTCAAGACTGGCGGCACCACCGTGTGGAAGCGCATGCTGGTGCACCTCACCACGTCGCTCGCTCATCACCGCATCCCCCTGGCCAACACCGCCATCTACTCCGACGTGGCCGAGCAGATTGGTCCCTACAAGATCATTGACGTGCTGGCCAACATGTCATCCACCGCAAAGGCCCAGCCCGACTTTGACGTCTACCGCCAGCAGCCGGAGTATTCGGCCCACAACTATTATGTCGAGGCCGCGGGAGTCAACGGCGACGAATGGGGCCCCGTGGGAGGTTGGATCATCGACAAGTACAAGTTCCTTCCGCTGATACAGCATGCTGGCGACAACTGGCCCAAGGCGAAGTGGTACATCTATATGGAAGACGATGCATACATCTTCCTGCCTGGAGTCCTGGGCTACCTGGCCAAGTTCGACTGGACTCAGCCGCACTACCTGGGCAGCTATGCGGCCAAGTCGGACGTCATCTTCGCCCACGGTGGTGCTGGGTTTGCGCTGTCGCGAGGAGCATGGGAGCAGTCGTTTGGCAAGCAGGGCAACGGGAACGGCAGCCTGACGGAGGAATACTACCAGTATACGGCTGACCACTGCTGCGGTGACCAGGTGCTTGCTCACGCGCTGCGCAAGCACGGCATCAAGTTTGGCGAGAACGGCGGCGACGGCAAGTTCACCTTTGGCTTCAATCCCTTGGTCCACTGGGCCTTTGCCTTTGCCAGCGCCAACTGGTGCAGCCCGCTGCTGTCGTGGCACAAGGTGCACAACCGCGACGTCGCCCGCTATTACGAACTTGAGCAGAGTTGGGACTGGAGCAAGGGACCGCTCCTGCACCGCGACTTCTTCAACGCCATGATCCTGCCCAGCATCAAGCAGCACGCCGAGTGGTGGGACAACTACTCGGGCGTCTTCGAAGTTTCGTCCGGCAACCGAGAGTGGGCTCCCAAGCCCGGTGCCGACAACGGCAAGTTCGACGAGGCCCTGTGGGCAAACGCCTGGGAGTCGGTGCAGGCTTGCGAGGCGGCGTGTCAGGGCTGGACCAAGTGCATGCAATGGAACTATGTCGAGGACCTGTGCAAGATGGACGACAAGATGTACATGGGCCAGGGCTATGCGCCGGGCATGTCCCAGAGGAAGACGGCGCTGAAGCACACAAGTGGGTGGATGTGGCAGCGATTGGAGGAGTGGAAGTGCTGAAAGGTATCTGCAGTTAGCGTTTGCTCGGCTCATTGTGGCGGGCGTTCTTGACGAGCATGATCATGGGATTGTATTGGATTTCATACCTGGTATAGAGGAGCGTCTGTGGCCTTTTTTTTTGGGGGGGGCAAATCTTTTCTTTATCAACCCATCATGTATGTATGGTTTCTTAAGCTGGGCGTCTCGTGGATTTAGGACTTGAGACAAGGCGTTGGACGGGTAATGTCTGTGAAGCTGCGTCACGCTGCTTTCTTGTTCAATGATTGTGTTTGTGAGCCTACCATTGTGAGGATGTCTTCCGAATCAAACTGAGATGACGAGGGCGAGAATCTCTTGAAGCTGTGAATTGTGTGGTGTTCTCTCTTGCCTTATCTACCTTACCTAATCTCGTTGACCCCTCAGGCTGAGGAAGTCGGCGACGAGGCATGCACCTGCTCGATGAAACGAGCACTCCTGCTTCTTGCCTCAGGTAGGTATCTAAGGTACACTGCTTTTGTCATGACAAAGTGGAAGGTGGTGAGGGAGCTCGATATAAGTCCTCTCTCGACCGGAGCTTCTCAAGTTCCTCCTTTCCCTTCTCCATCCTACCTATCTGACGAGTATCCGATGGCTGCCATCCATTTGCCTACCTAAGAACGGGCAATGAAGCTCGGAGCAAGTACTTGTGCGATACAATCATTCAACTGTATCCGACACTCAAGCTCAGTCATTACCGTGGTCTTGGCAGGTTTCCTTGCGAAGCTCGAATCCAGTTTTCATGCTTCTCTCTGTCGGCTGGAAGCTGCCTTGACGTCGACAGTGACTCTTACATGGCTGTGTCTTTAACGTTTCACTCGAACACTGATTCTCCCATTTGATCTTCAATCCAAGGATAGCTACTTACAGCACGCTTACAACACAATTGAATCACTGCCCAAGCTTAGCCTCTAGTCGAGAAGAAGACAGCCTAATAGTCTTCTTGACTTTGTTCAGCCTTTGGCATGATCAGACTCAAGCAGTCAACTTGGAAGCAGATAGAATTCTTGTGGATCTTGAGAACGGCTTAAACGAATTACAACAGCATCTTCAAGAGACTCATCAAGGGGCCGTGATATAAGTCCATGGTGAATGCGAGGTAAGAGACCCGAATTTGGCTTGCTCATTTGAGATTTACTGACATTTCGACCATAATAGATCCATTTTCCTCGAGGAGATTTCCCATCATATGAAGACATATATGTCTACGTGGCCCTCGACGAGACGCCAACACTCCTCATCAATCAAACATAAGTACATACCATTGTTACTAGACGAGTTTCAAGGGAGTCTTTTTCCTACACTCCCTGCAAATCCAACGCTTGGTAGACATGGCGCCATATCAGAGTAAACCATCGAAGGATGGCAATGCGCTATTTGCCAAGCTGCCTCCAGAAGTAAGTTGATGATCTTTCGCTTTCCAAGCCCCGAACAATAGCGAATAGGCTGTTTCTCAGAGCATCACTAACTAGCAATCCCTGCTTTGCTTGCTGCAGGTTCGCTGCAAGATATGGTCTCTTCTCGTGGTCAAGCCTAATGGTTCAGTGTTTCCGGTGCTCATTCCAACGTATGCAGCAACAGAGAGATTCGTCTGTATGGACTGGACAAAAAGTGTGCCCAACGTGACTCTCCAACTGGATGCTATTACGCAGACTTGCAAGCTGTTCTACGCCGATCAGGAAGCTCATCTACTCTTCTACAAGGTTCGTTAGCTTTCTATTAGAATGCTTCACTCCACCATCAGGCATCTTGTCATTAGGCAGTATACTTACCTTGGGTCATACAGCTCAACAAATTCCAATTCCCCGGAAGCCGCGAGTGCCTCACATATGTCGCATCAATCACTCCTTCTCGACGACAAGCAATCCGCAACATCACCATCTCATCTAGCCCAGTCGCTTATGATACCCGGGACGTCAAGGCCAGGAAGCCGAGCGAGCGTCTCCTCGCCATCGCCTCACTCTGCCCAGGTCTGCAAGTCTTCAAAAACGATAACCTCTTCTTTCAAGCAGACTCAATGACGCAATGGGCTGTTATGCTAGCTAGATTTCTTGAAGCTTTTGTCTCTCAACTACCGCAGCTCAAGGAAGTCTCATTCCGGGGTGGGAAAGGAGACCGCGCGCTGGTTTTTGGCTCCATGGCCGAGAGCGCAGAATTTTACTGGGAAACGTTGGATCAGTTCGCGTATAGCTGGAAGAGACAAAGCGTATCCTTTAGCATACCCGGCGAGGAGGCGCTGACCAGAGTATGGAAGCTGTTGCGTGATCGAAAGCCGGCGGTCGGTTTGCCACTGCCCAGGAGCCGCCTCAGAGCTGCCATCGCAAGCACGCCCATCCTGACGCTTGGTGAGAATCGGCGCAAGCTGAAAGAGAGCGGAACAGAAGATACGCATGGCGATAATCCTGTACCATCTGCGCCCGACCGCATATTTAGCGGTGGTTCTTGGATCAGAGGATTTCGAATGCCTGGTGATCAGCGCTTCCCTCGGCTGTATATTGGCAATAAATGGTACGGGTGGCATCAAGTTTTCCATTCGGACAAGATATCTGAGCCTCAAGCCGAACGCTTCTTGGATATGGCCCTGGAACTCTTCGCCTCGAAACACCCACCGTGGGTGCACGCCAAGCGTGCGAGCAAAGGGAGGCGTCATGGAGATTGGAGGGCCGAAAGCAAGATGATCAACGCCATATGGGAGATGAAGCGTCTGAGCAGGAAGGCCAAGTTAGGGGCATTGAAGAAGCTATATAAAAAGTCGCGTTGGAGGCGCGGCAGAAATTATTATCACATGTAGAGGCCTCTCTTTGGAAATATTCCATTGCTAAACCAGCTTCTCAAATAGATAGCCCCTGAGAGGAGACCACATCGCCTACCTAGTCATAGCTCCCAAAAATCGTCTTTTTCTTATGAAAACACATCGTTATTTTCCTTTCCTTTACTTATTACTCTACAGACCCAGACTTAGCGTGTCAACCATGTTCAACTCTGAAAAAAGTCCCTCCACCCATAGAGTTCCATGAAGATCCCCGTTACCAAATTGATTACCTCACCGCATGTCTGCTCTTTTTTCTCCTATTCTCGCCCTTGCGGGACCACGCCTTGCAGCCGGATATCAACAAGTCTCGAAAGAACTTCTCAGAGTATCAAGACTTGTATATCTTCACCATCGCAACATCTGTCTCACCACAAGTCCGCCTGACCGCCCGTGCTCGCCGCCATCGAGGGATCAGCCCATTCGGGCACCGCAGACGGAGGCTGATACGACGACCACGTTGGGTCCACAAACGCGGACTGCCCATTATCATCCGAGCACCAGCTTCCCGGCATCTTGGACGACTGTTCGTGTTCACCCGGCGGACCCGTCACGGCGGACGAGGGGATGACGTTGTTGTCTACCATGGCGGGAGTCGGATCCTTTCCTCCTGTCGGAGAAGTGTTCTGGCCTTGATCCTGGCCTTGTCCTCCACCATCGTTTCCGCTATTATCGTTCGTCTGTTGCTGGTTGTTGGCATTGCTGTCGCCCCAAGTACCGCCGTTGTTGGCGTTGTCAGTGTTGCCCCAAGTTCCCTGATTGTTCTGATCATTTCCACTGCCAGTTCCCCATTGACCGGCTCCTGTGCTGTTCCACTGGCTGTTATTATTCGTGGTTCCCCATGCGTCGTTGTTGTAATTATTTGTCGTCGTGCCCCAGGTGTCACCGTTGTTCGTCGTGCCCCAAGTATTGTTGCCATTGTTCGTCGTATTCCAGGTGTCGTTGCCATTATTCGTGTTCCAGGTGTCATTGCCACCGCCGCCAGTACCCCATTGATCACAACCTCCCTGGTTGTTGTTGTTGTTGTTGTTGTTATTATTAGTGGCACTACCATTGCCGCTGCCTCCCCATGGAGCGCCTTGATCGCTGCTGTTTGCCCATGCTCCAACACTCCTTCGGGAGAATGCATCCCAATTGCCAGCTCCGTCTTGACCCTGTTGCGAGCCACCGCTATTCTTGGAGCAGTTCGAATTACCGGAGTGAGACGGCGGCTTGTCGTTGCCATTCGAGCGGTTGCTTCCCATGTTGCTGAAAGGAGACTGTCGCTTCTTGTAGTATGGGTTGGGCTTCACCAGGTCAGTATTAGCACTGTCATGATCGACAAACCGGAGCACCTTCTCTCGGGTTGTATCTACCTTTGCCGGCTCCGGCATGACATTGTTGTTTGGCTCCGGTGCTTTACTGCCCTTTTTCCTGTCCGGCGTACCACCTGCGCTATTGGACATGCTGAAGGCGCTTCTGTATCCTTGTTTGTTGTATGGATTCTCGTACCAAGGGGCAGGCATTGGAGGTGGTCCTGGGTAAGCATACGGCGGGTAACCAGGAGGTGGCACCATTGCGTTCCAACTTGGCATCGGCATGCCTTGGGTGATCGGAACATGCTCGTATCCGTGAGGTGGTTGTTGTTGCTGTGGAGGTGGCATAGGCATGACGTTGTTATACCCAGGATAATACGGATTCTGCGCTGGATGAGGCATTCCAGCAGAATGAGGCATACTTGCAGGATGCGGGGGGCCGGCTGCGTTTTCGCGAGCAGCAAACATATGGTGGCCGTTTTGTCCATACACAGACCCGTGGTACACGCGAACTACGCCATGTAGAGCATCGTAGTATGCGTTGGGAGGAGGGTCGTCTTGTGTTTCAACCACACGCTCCGTCTGCATGAGCTCCGACCGGATAGGGGCGATGAGGTTCGGTGGGCGAGAGTGAGAATACTGGTAGCCTCCTGGTTGGTGCATCTTCTGTCCATCAACAGCTGCTGATTTCTGCGGCTCGTCGACTTCCCTTTCCTTGCCCTTGTCAGTCGACGTTCTCTCGGGCTCGGCTTCTTCTGTCTTCTTCTCTTCTTCGACCTTCTTTGTCTCTTCCGCTTTCTTTGCTTCCTCAGGTTCCTTTTTGTCTTTGGGTTTCTCCTTGCCCTCTTCCTTGGGATTGTTTGCCTTTTTCCCAGACTTTCCAGCCTTTCCAGAGGTCGTGTCGAGTTTCTTCTTGCCGGCAGTGATCCTCACAATCACTTCAGATTCGGTCTCAGATTCCTTTGCCGACTCCGAGGTCTCCCCCTCATTGCTAGAGATCTCAACTATTTTTGCTCCTTTCTTCTTTTGGTTGGACGTTTTTGTTGACACGGGCTTCTCGTCAGCCGAAGACTGAGCTTCAGAGGCTGAGGTCTCAGGCTCAGACTCAGATTCTGGTTCTTTCTTCTGAGGAACTGCATGTTTTCCCTTCTTCTTGCATTTGTTCTTCTCGCAAGCAGTCTCTTGTTTCTTCTTTCTTGCTAAAGCGCATTCTTTGCATTCACATGTTGGATGAGGCTCAGAATCTGCTTCGCTCTCCGAACTCTGGACTGGTTTTTCTTTCTTCTTCTTGGTGAGCTTTTTCGGCTTGGACGGTTTAGCCGCAACGGAAGAACTGTCGGAGGAAGATTCTCCTGCAGACGACGTTTCGCCATCAGAGCTCCCATTGGATGAGCTGGCCTCAGGCGTTGCCTGTCCAGAGGAACCAGAGTTGGAACTCGCGTCCACGCTGGACTCCGAGGTTGTCTCTTCTTCCTCGCAGAATGTGACCGACGTTTTCTTCTTCATGGCAGACTTGACGGGAGTGGCCTCTTTTTGGAATCGAACTTTCTTCACCACTTCCACCACTTCTGGCTTACCTTCGGGCTGGGGATCAGGCTTGGGCTCGGGTGTGGGCTCAGGTTTGGGCTCAGGCTCTGGTTCTGGCTCAGACGCTGGCGCTTCCGTCTCCTTTTCTCTCGGCCGTTCACGTCGAGGATAGGTCACCGTGAGGGTATCCTCGCCAGACTCGTCATCCGTAGTGACTTGAAGTTTGATGACGTCGCGCTTTTTTTGCTTGGGCTTTTGAGGTTTTGGAGGGGAGCCGAGAGCGGATTTGATGGTTGTTCCCACCATCCACTCGCAGAGGAGAGAGGGGCCGGGCTTTTTGGGCATGCCGGCGATAACAGGGGCGGCAGACTGTTGCTCAAAGTGATTTCGAGTGAAACTGCATTGGTAATGGGAGGAAGCTGAGGCGACTTGACCGAGTCGTGGCCGTAGAGAAAAAAAGTGGTGGAATTGTTGGAAATGTTGGGAACGTGAGCGTGACTACTGAAACGAAGAGCTCGCATAAACTCCCGCAAGGAGTAGTTTGAAAGGTTGACAGGAGACTCACAAGCCTCGAGTCCTGCAGCTGAGTGATTTCGTCCGCTGAGTAGTGAGAAGGGAAAGCACCTGAGGTGGAAGCGTGAGGAAGACTGAAGTGGGTGCTCCAGCTGGTGGGCAAACTGACCGCCCTGCCAAAAGCTTCTGGCACCCGCAATGGTCGCCCAGGTGCGTTTACAGTTGACCGCCTACCTACATAGGCTGCTGTACTGGGTGAAACGTGCCTTCAAGGTGTTCCCAATTGTTAATATGATCCTCTGGCCTTAGGTAGGCTGAAGATCAAGAGTCCTTTTCCGTATGTTTCGTCTCTGTTCAACTGATGCAGTTGCTACCTTTTTGGGGTACTATCATCGGTCTTTGATGCAAATCAAGGGGGATCTCTTTGTAGCCGAGCTTTTCTGGAGGCGTGAAAGTCATCTCGGGTAGCCCAGAGACGGAGCAGAATCACCGGGCAGGTCATGGCTGTTGGATGAATGGGGTCAGATCTACGATATGCCTTATACAGCAACCGCTCTGCTATTGCGGACAGCTTGCCTACGCAACGCTGCCGTGTCAGAATGGAGAGGCTGCCTAGATTGATCATGGTCATTTGGTTCAGTCGGGAATCTCAACCTAGGCAGCGTGCATTTCTTCGGGCATTCTTGTTTCGACATTCCTTTTTCTCGTCATTCATTACGCATTATTTGTTTCCTAGATAACGGTTAGATCAAGATGACTTCGCCTCTCTCTCCTGCATCTCCCTCCACTGTCTCTCCACCCTGACATTCTGCCAAAACCTCCAGCTTGCCAATGCCACTGCCAATGGCGGGAATCCCAGCATCAACCACGCCCACCATGCTGGATTGGCCTCCTTCAGCTTGCGCATCTCCTCGTCCAAAGCCGCCTTGAGCTCGTCCTTGGATCCGTCATTCCAAAGCACCACTCCCTTTCCCTCGCCCGCATACAGGCATCTCTTCGCCTTGAGCCGCACATCCATCTGACTCTTGACCCTATTTTCGGCATCTTCTCTACTGAGGTCTGGATTCCTGTCCATCAGCCTCTTGAGCTGCGTCTCCGGCTCAGTCACAGCAACCACCATTGTCGTCCCGCAGAACCTGTCGAGACGGCTTTCAAACAGAAGCGGCACATCCAGCACCACTGCCCAATAGCCCTGCAAGTAGCACGACGCCACCTTCTTGACCATGCCCAGCCGTACAGCTGGATGGACGATCCCAGAGAGCACCGCCCTGTTCTGCTGCATCTGAGGCTCGTCACCAAAGACCAGGCGCCCCAGGACAGCCCTGTTCAAAGGGCGCCCCTTGCCATTGGGTCCATTCTCCGGCATGGTGTCCGAGACTGGGAGAAGCAGGTCAGGGGCCATGGGGCCAAAGTGCCTAACGATGGCACGGTAGCCTCTTGTGCCGGGCTCGACGACCTCTCGAGCCAGGACATCGGCGTCGACAATGGGCAGCGAGTGAGGTGGCGACGCCAGGAGTGATGCAACGGTTGATTTTCCGGTCGCGATGGACCCGGTGAGTCCGATGATGAGCATGTTTGCGGTTTGCTGGATTCGGAGAGCAGCCGTACAATATGTGATGGAACAGGTATGTGATTCATGCTTGGCAGATGAGGTTCAAGCTGATGGCATGATGACTAAGCCTTCTGCAGCAGCGTGGAGACTGCATTTCTTTGTACCACCCAGGCAGACACCCTGAAGGTCCACATCACGAGCCTAATCTCAGAAATCCTGAAGTACATAGGTAGAGATACTACATACATCGATCGGACTTGGCTTGCATCAGCTCATTTCACTGACAGTCTTTGCCTTTGGTGACTTGCAAGCATCCATGTTCGATTTCTCCTTGAATACGTAGGAGGTACTATCTCCATCTTTGCAAAGTACCAGCCCAGAATCCAAGCTCAAGGGCACGTGCCAGCTGCAGCCGCATTAGGAAATTCCTTCTAGCAATTGTGAGACCAAGTACCGAAACCAAGTTTTGCCCGCGACAAGTCGCAAAAACGACTGACTCGACAATGCTTCGTTTTCTTCTCCCTTGCCAGAGAAGATACCAGTGGCATCTCTGAGATATCCTCTCGAGTTGAATATCCCCCAACGTTCGCATCACCGTCGACTCAATCCTATCATCAGCGAGGCGCCGCATTGCGCGCAATCGTCATCGACTTCGGCCCGGAAAGCTCACAGCAGAGCCAGCCTCTCTGATGTCTCCAGCGACCATGGCTCCTCCTACGCAGACCTTCAACCTCGATGTCGAGGCAATCTCAGGCATCTGCGGGTAAGCTCTGTTTACTCTGATCTGTCGATTTCATCGCTGACCCTTCACGCTCAACAGATCCATATCCATCGCTTGCTGGGGTGAGTGACGTCGTCGTCGTGCAAGAGTGCTTGCGAGAGCGGCCCAACTGACTCTTCTCCAGTCGTTGTATTTTCTCCGCAAATCATACAAAACTTCCAACGGAGTAGCGCCGATGCCCTCTCCGTTCAATTCATCATCGTGTGGCTGCTGGGAGATGTCTTCAATATCCTCGGCGCCGTACTGCAGGGAGTTCTCCCCACAATGGTATGCTGGCCTCCATTGCTCGCGTGACCTTTGACGGGAAGCTGACTTGTCTGCCTCCAGATAATCCTTGCGATATACTACACCATTGCCGACATTGTACTGCTCGGCCAGCTGTTCTACTACCGCGGATTTACGTGGCGCGACGAGCCGACTCCAACCCCGCCCAAGACAAACGGCAACGCTCCCGCGACAGCCTCGGCCTCGGCCCATGCAGACGAACACACTTCTCTCCTCAACCGACCAGACCATCATGGCCGACGCGGTTCGGACTGGTCCGGCTTCTCGCCGGCAGTGCCGCATCTCCTCGAGCCACCGGCTACTCCGCAACCGCCGCCGACGGCATTCCAGACTGTCATGTGGAACTCGGTTGTCATCCTCATGGTGTGCGGCGCTGGAGTTGCTGGCTGGTTCCTTGGCGAAAGGGCATCCACTGGCGAGAGGCCGCCTTCGAACGATGATAACTCCCTTGAGTTCAACACATTGGGTCAGATCTTTGGGTACATCTGCGCGGTGCTCTACATTGCGTCTCGAATGCCGCAGCTCATCCTCAACTGGAGGCGCAAGACAACTGAAGGACTGAGCATGCTCTTCTTCTTATTTGCCTGTCTCGGAAACACAATGTACGTTCTGTCCATTGTCGTGTACGAGCCACGCTGCGGGGAAGAGGCATGCGAGCCAGCAGAAGCAAGGCGGCGTTACGGCAGATATATCCTTGTAAATCTCAGCTGGCTGGCTGGCAGCGCCATTACCCTTCTGATGGATCTCTGCGTCTTTGCCCAGTACTTTATGTACAGGACGGAAGGCGAAACGCAAACAACAACTCCCGCCGAGGACGAGACTAGCGCCATTGACGAGCCTTGGGATAACAGACCACTGCTTGATCGAGACTGAGAGGCTGCCTCCGACTATATACGACACAATTCTCACCCTTCCCCCCTCCCGTTCTCCGTTCTGCTACTTTTGGTTCCTCTTGCTTGGCGGCTTTTCCTTGTGCAAAGACTCTTGGGACATTGACTCCAATTGCGAATTCGTTTCTCTTTGCTGTTCTTCTTTTCGGGTTATTCATCTCGCTTGGTACTATATCTTTCATTTTTATTTCCTTTCCGTTCGTCTTTAGAATTTTCCTGGGTACACGTAGTACGGTACGGATGATGAGCATATGGAGGTAAATTTTTGGGCAAATTCATGGGTCGTGGCAACACGGCAATCAACAAATGGTGAAACAGGACAAGGAATTGGGCGGTTATTTGTACAAAACTGTTCTTCTGTAATTTCAGAATTTCTTCCAATATTAATATTTGAAAGGTTGCAGTTATAGGCATAGCAATGATTCCTCTTCCAATTACACCAAAGTCTTCATGTCAATGCTTGCCCATGATCTGCCTGAATTCACGATAAGGCCCATATCAGCAGGTACTGGACCTTCCGCGGCCAAATGAAATTCCGCTCCACGGCAAGCCCCCACTCCCCGGGCAAGAATAAAACTCCCTCGACGCAGCCAAACTTTTGCTCTTTTCTTCTTCCTTCTTCCTACATCATCAGTTGGGTTATTCTTACACCGTCATGTGTTTTTATAATTCAAATGGCGGCTCCGCTACGGCGGCTTGCTGAGGGTTAACCTGATTCTCTGTGGGTTTCCTTCCGTTCCCGGCCTCCTAAAGTAAACACCATGTGATACACTTTTCCTATCAGCCGCAAGTCGACACCTCTCGTGGGCTGTGACTGTGGGTGTCTCTCAACATACTTGACTATACGATTTTCGGGGTTTTCTCATGAACTATGGGTTGGAATGGCTAGGGGTTGGACTGCACGTAGAATTTGAATTGGCCCTTGTGTGTGACCATCGGCTGTAGAATCTCGAGCTCTGGCCGCATTTTTTTTTTTTTTTTTGTCGCAAAAATTTCTGCGGTACGGACATGAAGACTCCGAGATATGAGCGACTGCAGAACACCTGCGTGCAGTACCATGCAGAGGCACAACACTCCGCATAGCTATGACCTCGGTTTACGTCGAAAGTCATGCTCAAAATTGGTTCGTTCAATCTCGTCGAGCGAGATCGTAAACACCTCGAATAGCCGAGTAATCAGCATCTTGGGGCGCATTCATACAAGCCGAAAAATTGCAATCATTTTCCTCAATTTTGAGATCTCAAATTCACGTGACTGGCGCCTCTCAATTGCTACAGTAGAGTCTGCGCACGGACCACTTTGCGCCTGTCCCCGAAATTTTTCTGAAAGTCGGAGCCGCCAGCAGGATCTTCCGGCTGCGACAGGATTCTGAGCGTCTACACAAGTCCACTTCACTTGACCTCTGTCATCGACTTCCCACAGCGTTTGGTTTTGCCCGCAGCCTTCCGCCCGCAATCAGACGCCCACCATGTCCTCTCTATGGAATGCCCTCACCGGAGGCAACAAGCCCGCCCACCCGCCACAGCAGCAGCAGCAGCAGCAGCAACACCAGCCCTTCACTCCCGATGCCGCCCCTCCAAGCACCACCAACCTCTATGACCCGACCCAGGGCGCCGGCGTCGAGTCCTTCCTGCAGAGCTCGTCCTTTGCCGACCCTTCACAACTGCACCCGCTGGCCGGCCTGAACAGGGACACGCTGGAGTACCTGACGCTCGAAGACTCAACGCTGTCCGACCTGCCGGGCGGCCAGTCCGTCCTGCCATCCCGCGGCTTCACCGACGACCTCTGCTACGGCACCGGCATCACATACCTGACGGCGCTGTCGATAGGAGGCGCATGGGGATTCCAGGAGGGTCTGCGCAAGTCAGTCGGCCAGCCGCCCAAGCTGCGGCTCAATGCCGTCCTCAACGCCATGACGAGGCGGGGTCCGTTCCTGGGCAACAATGCCGGTGTTGTCGCCATCACATACAACTGCATCAACTCGCTGATTGGGTACCTGCGCGGCGAGCACGACGCCTTCAACACGATTGCCGCGGGTGCGCTCAGCGGTATGGTGTTCAAGAGCACCAAGGGCTTGCGACCGATGATGATCTCTGGTGGTCTGGTGGCTTCCGCAGCCGGTGTTTGGGCGGTAAGTTGACCTTCACGGATGATGATGATACTGCATGCTGCATATTGCATGAAAGCAGTGAAGGTGAATAAAAGGCTAATATAGCGTTCTGTTACAGATTGTCCGACGGTCATTCTTCCCCATCCCGGAGCCGCATGCCGCGCATGCCGAGCACGCCGCCTTGTAATAATATAGCAAACCAATATCATGTAACGAATATCACTGTGAAAAGGAATTCTTCCGACGACGCGCGATCCACTGTTTAATCTGCCACACAAAAGGTGGGCAAGAAAGGGGAAAACAAGGGTTTTCAAGATGGAAACGGCACCTGACTGGGGGGAGGGCATGGAAAACAGAAAGAAAGGGAATCCGGGAGCGAGCCTCTTCCAGTCGAGTGTCAGCGTGTCACGGGGAATATTGGACGGAAGCAAGGGAAAAAAAGAAAAGAGGAAAAGGCACGGCTGTGTGGCGGTGATAGATGATCTCTCCTCCCCAAAGTTGAACTGTATATTATATCGGGTAACCGGTCAGCGAAGCATTTAGACCTTATAGGCTGGGGGCGTCTGGTCATGAATTTCAAGTTTGGATTGAAAATGCTGGAATGAAAACGCTGGTATGGGCTGAAGTGGGATTTGGGCAAGCGGGCGACAATGAGCGCCTCCGTCCGCAGCTGTACCTACCTGTGGTGTTTCATGTTTGGCTGGCGAGAGGGCTTGAGAGATACCTGTAGGTAGGGGATGCTCAGTAGGGAAGTGAAGTATTCGAAACCTTGGAAAATTGATCATCAAAAGGTCGTTTCATATGGACGTGAAGGCAGTGACTGGCCAAGGAATCCTCGGAGGACTCGACAAGGGGACTCTATGGCCGTCGAGCTTATTGATTGTCATGCTTAGGAATCTATTGTTCATTGTGCAGGCCAAAGGCCAGCAGGAAAACACAGACGAGGCCAAGAGGTTAAACAGTCAAACCTTAAGGTATACGACAACCGCATCCAAGTCGGCAAACGCTTTTTCCTTTTACATCCCTCCCCTCCTCCTCGCCCCTAGTGCAATTCACACCCACAACTACAACCACCACGAAACCACAACAACTACAAAAGCACAAAGTCTGAAGGCTTCGCCGTGTCTCTTCTTGAACGACATCAACTACCCTACGCCCTGGGAAGCTGAAGTTTCTTTCTTCTGCTTGGCTGCTGTGAATCCGCGAGAAATGTGTCTGCCTTGCTTCCCGTGGACGTGGACGGAGTACGAGGATCCGTTGGACTCGATGCCGGAGCAGCATGTGTGGGTGCATGATGGGCAGGCGTGGTCTCTGCAGCGATATGTGAGTGTTGAACTTGTTTCTTTTGTATATGGGTTCTTTTTGACATTCCTTCGTTGCGTTTCTTTCGAGCGTCTCGAGTGATGCTTCTGTTATTGTTTCCCCCCCTTTTTGTCCAGCTTCAGTTCTCCTCTGAAGCAAAGAGTTCAATGATTCGCTGTGACAACAGCCGTGAAGATGTATAGCGTGGCTGGGTTGAAGGCCTCGGGCGGCTCAGGCTGGCAGACTGGCAGCTGTCTTCATCTGAATGGGAGTGAATTGCCAGTCAGTTGGCCAGCAGCACCAGCGCTCAGCCCTGGCCTCACCCTCTGCCCACTCCTCCTCCTCTTCTTCTTCTCTTTCTTTCTTCTTTCGTCTCTTTGCCACTTTCACTTCTTCCCTCCCTTCTTCCTCTGCCTGCATCATCCATCCTCCTCTGCATCTCCTCCGGCAATGCCTGAAGGCGCAGCGGACTCCAAGTCGCCCAAGGCTCCCCGACGGCTGCGCCCTGCAGGCGAGCCCCTTCGCCAGGTGCACTTCCAGACGCCCGCCAGCGCCGCCGCAGGCATCAAGGCCGCAGCTTCTGCATTTCCTCCTGCATCTTCGTCTGCTACTCCTTTCACCTCCTCCTCCTCGTCCACCACCAATTCAACCACCAATCCTCCCACCACCGCTGCCGCAGATCCAGCATCAGCCTCGACTGGCGACTCGTTCGGCAACCAGCCCGACAGCTTCCCGCAGCTCGGCGCACCGCCTCACAGCTCTCTGGGTGCTGGCCAGTGGCACACAGCTGCTGATCCCACGCAGAGCGTCAAGTTGCCTGGCCAGCCGTTTGCCGGCTTCGCAGCACCTGGCGCTGGCCCTGGCGCGTCGCCCTTCCAGCTGCATCCTCAGCTGTTTGCCGGCCCGTTCTCTTCCCCCCTGCAACAACAACAACTTCATCATCACCACCACGTCCCTGTGCAGCTCCAGCCTCACGCCGCCGTCCCTACCGCCACGCCCGTCACCTACATCGGCAGCCCCATCGCCATGGCAGACTACCAGAACGCAGCGCCGATGCCTACGGGCGTCAACTTCCAGCCGCCGGTGCCCGACACCACCTTTGGCCCGATCCCGCACGTCTACGTGCCTCGCTTTGACGGGGGTCTCATGCCTGCTGCTGTCCAAGTCGGTCTCCCCTCGGTACAGTTTGTTTCCCGCCCTGCCACTGCCGCGCCCGTTTCCACTGCCACGTACACCGTCGTGATGCCAAAGACGTATTACTACAACGGCTACACCTACTATGCAAGTTCCGTCTCGGGTTGGTCCCTTGTTTGTGTCTTTTGCATCTGCTGGCCTTGGGAGCCATCATGCTGAACCCTCATGATGCTGCTTCCGTCCTCAACAGGCTGGCTGTCTTCTGGCTGGGCTCTTTGCGCTGCCTCATCTCTGCACAAACACCCTCTTTCATCCCATGCTCATTTCTTCCGCTCTTTTGTTGCATTCTTTCATCTCTTGTCCGTCGGCCCTGCTAACAGTTTCGTCTCTAGCAACCGACTGTTACCGGCGTCCCAGTCGCCCAACCAAGCTACGTTGTTGCTCAGCAGCCTGCCGTCGTCCCACAGCCCTTCGTCGGTCAACAGCCTGTCATGATTGGAGGACAACCAGCTTCCGCTGCGATGCCCTTCCAGCAGATGCACACTGTTCCCGCGATGGGCGTGCCCGGCGCCGGCGGCATGCCCGTCTTTGCAGGTAATGGTGGCCAAATCCCCGATGTGTCTGGTCTTGGGAAAACTCCTGCCGAGGAGACTATACGGCAGCTGCAGTTTGCGCACGCAAACAAGCTGTTCGAGCCTCAGGAGTTCAAGCCGTCGGACGATGACCCCTCTCGTTTCTACTATGTTCGCGAAGTTGACGGAAATTGGACCCAGCGCAACCGGTTTACTATTGACCACCTCGGTGACTGCCGGTGGTACGTCACGGACGAGGGCTGGTTTTACGCCGTCAGGATGCCCAACTAGCAAGGATGGAAAGGATTGTGTGTGCCCTATAAGATTTCGACGGTAGTGAAGAGTTGTGAGTATATATCTGCAAAATAGAGCGATGGTCAAGCAGCTGAGACTGGGAAAAGCACGCTGTGACTCCCATCATTTTACCTTTTCCGGAGTTGCTACGCCTCAGCGTAGGTAAGTCAAGTTATTTCCACGAACAGCGTCAGGCTCGAGTCGTTCATGCTAAGATCCATTCAGGATACCTATAAGCCGGCACATGTCTGGAACGAGCTTACCTCTGGTCATCAGGTATACTTGACCCATCAGAAAATTCTTTGTCAGTTCAGGGTAGAGCTAACGACTCAAGCAGGAGAAGCTTGTTTGCAGCACAAGGTTGTATTTGGCAAAGGGACTCTGGCTGGAAGCATGGGCAGTTTTGGACCTTGATAGTTCTCCTGGCAGATATTAGGCGATTACGAAAAGGGATTTGTTCTGACATGTTTGTTGCTGGTGCTGATTCGCACCGTGGCCCTCTCTTGCCTTTTCCTCCTCACAAGCCCGTGGTTCCCCACGAGACGGAATCTCTGTTACCACCCCGAATGCTGCGGCATCGTGCGGCAAACCCCCATCCAATGGTGATGCATCCTTTGCCGCAAACTTGGAGAAGTTGTGATAACTTTTGCCCCAAATCCCGCTTAGCGTTGCAACGACGTCAGCTTGCCTACTCCAAGATGCATCCCCTTGAATTTCTTCCAGGGTATTCTCAACCCACTTGACGATTACCCCAGCTTTAGACGTGCTTCCCGTTAGCTCAACACTCCGAATCCCGAGGCCATTCCACGATGAGTAATGGAGGAATTGGGGGGGCTCTTTTTTGGAGAACCCCTCATTCACTCTTTTGACATATATTTGCTATTAATCAGCCCGGATAGATAGAGGATCGATGCGATGCGAGATGCCAGATCATTGAGAGGCGAAACCGCTTGTTAGCTGGGCGCTAGAGAGCGGCATATAGAAGCTTCATTCTCAAGGAGATTTACGATTGAACAAGTCTGTAGCAAGGTACGTTATAACGATATAAACCGCAAGAGTCAAGGGCTCTTGGATAAGAAGCTAAGGCATTGAAACGTCATTACAAATCGCATACCCACAGCTCCATACATCTTCTTTCCGAGCTTCATCTCACACAGCAGCCGTCTCTTCACTTCTCATCTACCTTCTCTCCGTTTCTCAGAGATACTGTACTGTAAGAGACAAAATCGATCCCAACAACCCCCCCGGACTATACAAAAAGAAACCACACATTTCTCATCACCATATCCATCTCAAAAGAAATGTCCCAAGTCTTCCAGCCGGGCCCCCCCTCGCTGGCCAACGACTCCTCCATGCTCTCCCGCAGATTCGGCAAGGAAGTCATCAACTACTACGGCGGCGGCCTGCTCAACCGCTTCTCCTTCCTGCGCGGCGACACCCCGTTCCTACGACGCGCGGCAACGTCGCCGTCGGCGCGGTTCGTGGCGCTGCGGGACCTGAATCCGCTGGTGGAGGATGCGCGGAGGCTGGCTTTCTTCAAGCTCGACGAGGTGAAGCCGCTGCTGCTGACTACTGGAGAGGGCGGACTGTTTGAGAAGACGGACGAGGAGAGGACGAGGGGGTTTGATTCGACGCGGGTGAGCCCGCTGGTGCTCTTCCTGGGACTGTTGCCGGATGGGCCGCTCGGGGTGGACTTGGAGACGAGCAAGCATGGGGTTGTAAAGGGGCAGCCGTTCTTCGCGGTGGACGTCACGCCCAAGGCGGGCTTCAAGGAGGCGGCGGAGGAGTTTGTCAGGGGGGCCGAGGGCAAGGGGTATTCGGTGCAGACGAATGTGCGGACCATGACGCTGGATCCCGACGGAGGTGAGTTCTCATCAACCATGTCCCCAGCTTTCACTCCCCCGTCTCTGTCAAGAATAATGTGATGAAAAAAACTGACACACACACAACAGCCGCCATCCTCGCGCAGGCTCGCTCCCTGCTCGACTGGAACGCCCGCAACAGCTTCTGCGCAGGCTGCGGCAAGCCCAACCTCTCCGTCGAATCAGGCTACAAGCGCGTCTGTCCGCCCACAGACTACGCCGGCATCTCATCCTCTTCATCCTCCTCCTCCGATAATACACCGCCCCAGCCTCGGGACGACTGTCCCACGCGCCACGGCGTGTCCAACGTGTGCTTCCCGCGCACCGACCCGACCATGATCGTGGCCGTCGTGTCCGCCGACGGCCAGCGCATGCTCCTCGGCCGACAGAGCAGGTGGCCGCCGAAATGGCACAGCACCCTCGCGGGCTTCATCGAGCCGGGCGAGTCGATTGAGGATTCCGTCCGCAGGGAGGTCTGGGAGGAGGCGGGCGTGCGGGTGGGCCGCGTCGTGATCCAGTCGAGCCAGCCGTGGCCGTATCCGTCCAGCCTGATGATTGGCGCCGTCGCGCAGGCGCTGCCTGACGGGGAGGAGATTGAGTTGTTGGATAGGGAGCTCGAGGCCGCGAAATGGTTTACGTTTGACGAGGTCAGGGAGGCGTTGCGCAATGGGACCAGTGCGCTGGGGGATCCGGTGCCGGAGGGGTATGAGGGGCCGTTGTGTGTGCCGCCGAGGCAGGCGATTGCGCATCAGTTGATGCAGGCTGTTGTTGATGGGTATCTGGATGTCACGGCCAAGATTTGATTGAGTGTTATGTGTGTGGTCTTAAGGAGTTTAGGGGTTGTGGTGACGAGAACAATGTATTAGATGAGAAGAATTAGAGCATGTACAGGGTGATCTGGGTCAAATGTGTCCTTGTATCAAACATACATTGTACCTTGAGAAGTAATCAATTTCGTGCTTTATATGTTCATGACACTCTCTCCATTTCGGGAAACACCACCCCCTCCATGACCGGAGCAGGCCTCCACTCGACAAGCCCACGCTCATACCTCACTACCCAAACGGCATCTGCATTAATCACCTCCAGCGCATCTCTCACATCCCGGTCCCTCTCCATGGCTTCTGCCAGCAACTCCAATATCTCATCAAACATGTCATCCTCCACCCTCACATAGGAAACAATAGCAGTCAGGAGCTTCACCACTGCTTCCCAGGTCCTTATAGGCGACGCATACTGGCCGAGTCCCCCTCCACCCGAGACCTGCTGTCCCATGGAGTGTTTCGTGACGTGGAAGCCATCATCTTCCGATCGTCCTGGAATCATAATCTCCCTCACCGGCAGAGACTGTGAAAGGGAGCTCTTCAAAGGGACACTCGTGCGAGCCTTACTGCCAGAAGCCTGCTGCTTGACTTTGCGACACCAATTGCCAAGCCCGTCCCACCACTCCGTCTTCCATCTAGTGCTCAAGAAGTCTCCCGCCGCCTTGCACAGTCCAGACAGCGCCTCGCAGGCTTCAACCACGACAAACGTCTCTGGATCGTGCAGTCTCGCTATGACTACCGGCCAGATGGCGTTGACGAGAGGCAAAAAGGCATCTTGGTCAGCCGCGAGGACCGAGGATGCCGTGGTGACGAGTTCGAGCAGTGACCTTCGCAGTGTCGGCGTCGGCGACGTTAGGTAGTGCTGCGTGAGGCTTGCCACGCGCTGGAGGAGTTGGTAGGTGGGTGAGTTTGGCTTCTTTTCCTCTTCTGGTGGCGGCATCTCTTGGTCTTGACCACCGTCTTGTTCGTCTTGTCCCTGCGCCAAGCCGCTCGTCCACGGGATTCCCGGGTGTCCTCCTGTTGGTTCTAATCCCTCCATCTCGGCTCTGTCGCGCTCTTCCCTTTCCTTCCGCCGATCGAGAAACTCCAGAAGCATATCCAGATTCTCCATCTCTTCCGCCTTCTTCTTGTGATTGATGGATGACATCTCAGCTTCGGTGAGAAGCCGGCCATCCGCTTGAGATGCTTGGTCCACAATCTCCTTCAGCACAGAAAAGAGGCTCTCCACGAAGGATGTATATCCGTGGTAGTTCTCCAGGGCAGCAAACATCGACTCAACGACATCGTCCAGAAACGGCACAAGGCGAGGGCCCGCCAATCGTACCATCATCCTCAGGACCTGCGTAGAGGCCGGAGAGATGTCCAATGTGTTCAACCGCAGCGAGACCGAGTTCACCATGTAGTCGACGTTGTCGATGATGAGCTCTGAGACGCTGGAGTACCTACAGGATAATGCTATGCTGTTGAGCGTAGTAATGGCATGCTGCTGTAGGTTTGCATTTTCCGAGCCCAGAAACGTGGCGACGGGGAAGAGCACGTCAACGAGCTCCGGTCGAAAGTTCTCGCCAGACCTATGTGCGGCATAAGCCATGATCTCAAGGGCAATGGCTTCCAGGCGCCAGTCAACCTGCGCCGTCTCGGTGTGTGAATCCAGCACTTGCACAGAAAAGTCATAAAGCTCGTCAAAGACTTGGTTGATGTCGTCCGACTGGTCGGTAAATGCAGAGAGGTCAAACAGAGCGTCCGTGTCTTTGGAGGCGGCATGTGAGGCCTTGACCAATTCAAAGCATAGCCAGTATGCCGTCAGCTGGCTGAGGGACGCTGATTCCCGAACGCAGTCCAGCATGTTCGCAGCAATCTTCGTGTGCTGAGACGTGGAGGCAACAGTTCGCGCAAGATCCATGATCTCGCTCTTCAGCCTCCGCTGCCCTTCGTGACCCAGTATGACTGGTTGGAAATCGGATTGGCTCGGTGCGGCTGAAGCTGGTGACCCATCATCAAGCAGCAGGACACGGTTTCCGGTATTGGTTTGCTGTTCTTTCGACGCGCTAACCACTGCCATCAAGCTCTCCCTCAAAGTGCTGCTGATTGAATCATCGAGCGTCGAGGACTCGATTCTAAGGCTTCGCAGCAACTCAATCCCCTTGGTCAGATTGTAGACTGCTTGCTCCTTGACCTTCTCATCGCTTGCTTGTACAAGACGAGGAAGACTCGACATCCAGTTGTAGACTGTTGATTTGACACTCTCGCCCAATTCAGGATAAATGTTTATCAGATATCTCAAGTTTGTTTCAGTCATTGAGTCTTCATCTGGCCCCTTGTCAAGAATCACCGATGTTTCGACGAGGATGTTGGTGCAGTTTGCCAGAGTCGTGTGGCACTCGTCCAGCAAGGCTACGCATAGTCGCCCGAGAGCCTCGCGGACCTCGACTGCCTCGTGCGTCCGTAGCTTCATCATGACCGACAACGCCACTTGAACTTGGGCCACAGTAGCCTTCAGCCATGCCGGGCTGAGGACCTTGGACTTGTCCTCATGGCTTTGGCTTTCCGATTCTTTGGCGAGAATAGATCGTGTCCGCATATCCGACAGCACCCGAGTCAAAACCACCCGCACAGTCCCGAGACATCGGGCTAATACCAGCTTCTTATATCGAGACGGCTTTGACAGCACCTTTGCAAGCGATGAGATAGTGCCGGGGAGAAAGCTGGCCAGCGCAGCATGCTCCTTGATCGCACCATAAACGGCTTCCAGACTCCTCAGCGCCTCATGCTGAATCTCGGCGCTCGCACCTTCGGCAACTCCGTCCAGCATGACGGTAATTCCATGACCAAGCGCCGGTATAGATTCGGGCTCAGAGAGACCTGCTGCCGCCACCGGGGATGAGCCCGCTGTCGTAAGAAGCGCTGTTTCGGCCCGGAAAGCTTCAAGCACCGTCTCTTCGGGAATGTCCCGCTTCTGCGATCCAGGAACACCATCAATGATGAAGATGAGAAAGCTGAATATCTGCTGCACCAGCTTGGCGGATATCTTAGTCTTCCAGCCATGAACGATGAGAATGGTTAGAATTTTGACGCAGTCTTCAACTACGCTCATAGGGTATCGTTCCAGCTGGCGAAAGATGTGGTGGAGGGGGAAGAAGACATATTCGGCAAGTTTCTCGTCCAGGGCCAGGGGGTTCGTAGAGATCTGCTGGTTCAGAATGTCGAGGATTTGATCGACCAGCTGCAGCACTTGTCGATGCGACTTTGGGTCTCCCGCCTCCCGGATCGCCAGCTGGCTCACCTGAACGCAGCATGGCTTCAGCTACGCAGAGCATCAGAGTATGTTCCCTCGTATGCCGATCAAGTTATATGTTTACCGACTCACTTTTTGGAACAGCTCGTTCCGCTCCTTAGCAGCCGGGGTCGTCTCCATGGCCCGCTATAACCGGACACAAAGCTTTTCGACCCGGTTCACCTGCACATCATCCCTCCTCGCTCTCCCGTTTGCACAGCCCGAGCGTGTATAGGAGAATGGAAAGTAATCGTGTGGGCAGATATGATATGAAGGAGGTGATTCGTCTGATGGTTGGCTTTGTGACTCGCTTATCAAGAGCTGCTGTGGAGGAAGGCTGACGAACTGAGAGACGATGAATGGATCATGTACCGTGCATGTGAAGCACGGCTGGTGGGGAGCCCAAAGCACCGTATCATACAATAGATGCACTGTATTTGTCCCCTGTAGAATGTCGATCCTGCCTGACGACACCTGAGCGGCGACTGCCGAGTGGAGAATAACTGGCCAGCCGCAGCCGCTAGACAAGGCTAGCACTGTGCTTCTGCCCTATTCGCCAGCGATCCTTTCCCTCGAGTCTCGAAAGGAGCACTCCACTGCTGTCACTTGTCAGCCGTAGGTACTTGGACGTCTAAGCCCATGATGATGTCAGTTGCGCCTTGGATGCTTCTCGAGTCAGGTACAAGTGGCCAAGGCCCCAACTGACGTACCTCTGCCTGAAGTATTGCGGTTCCCCTGAGGCATAAAATCCACCTCTTCTCTACATCATCTCATGCTCCAGAGCCGTGAGGCCTCAATTAACCATTTTCAAGTCAATTTAATACACCCAAATCAACAGAGATCACAATGGAAAAGCCTTTTCCTCTCCTGGCTCACCCCTACCGGTCGCCGACTCGAGGCTCTTGTGCCTACGAGATGGGTGACACGGCAGCCAGAAACGCCATCATTTTCATTGGCGGCCTGAAAGATGGCCCTCATACCACGGGGTACATCCGAACCGTGGCCAGAGAGCTGGAGAAGCTGCCCGAGTTGAGCTATTCCGTGTTTGAGATACGGATGAGGAGTTCCTTTGACGGATTCGGAACTGCTCGCCTGGCAGATGATATTCAAGACATTGCGGCCCTTGTCAAGTACTTGCGGTCCCTTCACCGAGAGAAGATTATCCTGTTTGGTCATTCAACAGGGTGCCAGGTATTTTTTTGTCTGCGTGAGAGATGGATTTCGAGCTTGACACGCTGACAAAGCCCCAGGACTGCATGGAGTATGTCAATTACCCAAGGTACTCCAACCCGGTGGTGGATGGCTTCATTCTTCAGGCTCCCGTTTCGGATAGAGAGGGCGCGGAGCTGCTATTCCCCGACTACAAATCCAAGGTCGATTATGCGGCCAAGATGATTGCCGAAGGGAGGGGAGACGATTTCCTTCCCAGAGAGCAGTCATTTGCCATGTTGGGCGCACCAGTAACGGCGCAGAGGTTCTACGACCTCTATGCCAAAGGGTAAGATGGCCCCTCTGCCAAGTCTTTTCAGGCAACACGGGACTGTTGGGTTAACCTTTTGCAGCGGTGCCGATGACTATTTCTCGTCCGACCTGGACCTCCCAACCCTCAGCAAGTTCTGGGCTCGGTTCAACAAGCCTGTGCTTGTGCTACACTCGGAAAATGACGAGTTTGTTCCGCCCACCGTGGACCAGAAGCGGATGAACAACCTGTACAAGACGTTGAACACGCACGTCAGTCCATTGTCTGGCATCATACCCGGGACGGGGCATACTGTCTTGGAGGAAGAGGCGAGACAATGGCTGGCGGAGAGGGTTATTCAGTTTTTGAAAAGACCGTTTCAGTCAATACCGGTGTAGCCACTGTATATCGTCATCTGCGGAGGATTGGTGGAGTTGCTATCAACGTGCAGCGGTGGAGACGTACACGTTTCTGTGTCATCTCCTGAGGCTACACGATTAGCTTATCAGAATCAAAACCGTGTCTCCTACATATCTACCAACTTACATATATACCCTTGTCACTCGACAACAGCTTGGACGTCATGTAACACCACTGTTTCTCATCACGGCAGGAATACTTTGATACTGTACGTGAAGAGGTGTTTTTGGATCATACCAGCCTCGGGAAGTACCAACTTGAGGGTTAGGTAAGGTATGTATGGCAAAAATTTAGGGTAGGCCCGGGGTCCGGGCAAATGAGGTCCGATACCGCCGACCCGGGGGATTAATCAGCACTCATCCCCCCAGGCTGCCCAGGCTGCCCAGCTGTCAGCTCCGGGCGCAAAAGCCGAGTCCACGCCTCCTGACTGCATCGCCATGTGCTCAGGACGGGGAACCAGCCCCAGCAGCGGCCTCTCATTCGCCCGCCCGGCTCGTCGCCATGGTGGATTTGCGCCCCTTTGGCGGTTCCTGCTGGCCGCGGCTGACAAAGCATCCCCGTTTCTGTGCCGCCATCCACGAGGCTCGGCAAGGTACCTGCCGCTAGCAGCGCTCTTGTCCACTGTAGCATGTATTCGTACCCACCTTCAGCGCCTACCTAGGCCTGCTAAGGCAGTCCACCAATCCACCTCCATACAATGCATCCAACTCGTTTCCGTCATCTTCGGTCGCTCGGCCTGCCTATTTTTTTTTCCCGTCCTCCTGCTCTGACGGAGCTCGCCTCTCTCCTCTGCATCACTGCTGCTCTCCTGTTCCAATCCCTTGTTGCTCGCGCTGGGCGTCGCTCGAACCGCCGCAGAATCTCGCGTCTGGCATTGGCCTTGTTCTGCCCCCTCCAAACGCCCCTTGCGTCACCGACATAAGCCCAACCGCAGCCGCTTGTCTCGACTCGCTGCGTCCGAGCTTCTTCGACATCTCACCGACCCGACCGATCCTGAAGCATGCGGTAATCAGTTGAGACCCCGCTAGCATTCGAACAGAGCTGGATCGCAGACCATGGATCCGTACGACGAGCAAAAGGTGCTGCTGCACACGGGCTCGTTCACGGGCTATCGCCCACTGCAGGAGCTGGGCAGTCAGTATCTCGCAGCGTCCGCCGCTGCGTGCAGGCGCTTCTGCGGCAACGAGGAGGGCTGGGGCCCGCTGAGTCCGTTCCGCTTCGACTTCACGCCGTGCTTCATCGATGTCTGGGTTGCGGCTGTTGCTGCCTACGGCATCGTCCTCGGCGCCGTGGCCATCTGGTGGCTGCTGAGGAAGAAGCAGGAGTTCACCACCTCTAAGAACGCGCACTTCTGGATCAAGCAGGTACGTCGAGGCGCATAGGATATCGACATTGTATGCTATTGGTAGGGCTTGCACGCTAACCGCCGAATAGACACTGCTGGCTGCCATCATCGCCAACGTTGCCGTTCAGTTCGCCTTTCAGATCATCAGCTATGGAAGCATCTGGTACCGCGACTTCCGCTCATGGACCTCCGTCATCCTCATCCTGTCCCTGCTGGTCATCTTCACGATCCAATGGCTGGAGCACTCGCGCCTGAGACACGCCAATGGAGTCGTGCTGTTCTACTGGCTACTGCTCCTCATCGCCTTCGCCGTGAAGCAGCGCTCGCTAATTTCCCAGCAGCTCTATGCCAAGAACCTCCCGTACTTTATCACCTACACCGTCGGAGTCGGCCTCAGTGTTGTTGAGTTCCTGGTCGAGTGGCTCTGGCCTCGCCCAAACCCCAGCGGCTATGACGCGATTCTGGAAGAGGAGGAGTGTCCTGAGGATTACGCCACCGTCTTCTCCAGGCTCACCTTCTCCTGGATGACGCCCCTCATGCGACGCGGCTACAAGGTCTTCTTGACCGAGAACGACCTCTGGGGCCTGGGACGGGCTGACCAGACCAAGAACACGGGCGAGGCTCTTGAGGAGTCATGGAAGCACGAGCTTAAGCGGCGCCCCACCTCGCCGTCGCTCTGGCTGGCCTTGTTCCGCGCCTACGGTGGCCCCTACATCGTTGCCGCCGTTTTCAAGATTGGAAACGACGTTGCGCAATACATCCAGCCTCAGCTCCTCCGCCTCCTCATTACGTTCGTTAACTCGTACAACACTGGTGAGACGCCCCAGCCGATTATCAAGGGCGCTTCCATTGCGCTCGCCATGTTTGCCTGCGCCGTCTTCCAGACCACCATGGTCCACCAATACTTTCAACTGGCGTTCGTGACTGGAATGCGCATCAAGGGTGGCTTGGCCTCGACCATCTACCGAAAGTCGCTGCGACTGTCCAACGAGGGACGGTCATCCAAGTCTACCGGTGACATTGTCAACTACATGGCCGTCGACGCCCAGCGTCTGCAAGATCTCACTCAATTTGCTCAGCAGGCCTGGTCGGCGCCGTTCCAGATCACGATCTGCATGATTTCCCTCTACAACCTCGTCGGCTGGTCCATGATGGCTGGTATCGTCGTCATGATCATCATGATGCCTGTGCAAGGCTTCGTCGCTCGTATGATGAGAAACCTGCAAAAGGACCAAATGAAGAACAAGGACGCCAGAAGCCGACTGATTAACGAAATTATCAACAACATGAAGAGCATCAAGCTTTATGCCTGGGGATCAGCCTTCATGGCCAAGCTCAACTATGTCCGAAACGAGCAAGAGCTGAAGAACTTGCGAAGAATCGGCGCGACTCAGGCGGTGGCCAACTTTACCTGGAACACTGCGCCCTTCTTCGTCTCATGCTCTACCTTTACCGTATTTGTTCTCACCCAGGACCGCCCTCTCACCACGGACATCATCTTCCCTGCTCTGGCCCTCTTCAACCTCTTGACCTTCCCTCTGGCCGTTCTCCCCATGGTCATCACCTCCATTGTTGAGGCCTCGGTTGCCGTCGGTCGTTTGACCGCGTTCCTTACCGCTGAGGAGCTGCAGCCGGATGCCGTTGCAATTGGACCTGCTCCTCAGGAAATGGGCGAGGAAACCGTCCTCATCCGAGATGGCACCTTCTCCTGGAACCGACACGAGGATAAGAACGCACTGACGGACATCAACTTCACTGCTTACAAGGGAGAACTGTCCTGCGTTGTCGGACGAGTTGGCGCTGGCAAGTCGTCTTTCCTGCAGAGTATTCTGGGTAGCCTCTACAAGGTAAGCGGCTCGGTCGAGGTTCGCGGCAGTGTTGCATATGCGTCTCAGCAATGCTGGATTCTCAACGCCACCGTCAAAGAGAACATTGTCTTTGGATACAAGTGGGATGCCGACTTCTACGAAAAGACAGTCAAGGCCTGCGCCCTCATCGATGACTTTGCGCAGCTTCCTGATGGCGACGAAACCGTTGTGGGTGAGCGTGGTATTTCTCTCAGCGGTGGCCAAAAGGCTCGTGTTTCGTTGGCTCGCGCCGTCTACGCTAGAGCTGACATCTATCTTCTTGATGATGTTTTGTCTGCCGTGGATTCCCACGTTGGTCGACACATTATCGAAAACGTCCTGGGCCCCCGTGGATTGCTCTCTTCTAAGACTCGTATCCTCGCCACCAACGCTATTACTGTCCTGAGACAAGCCAGCTACATCACCCTGCTCAAGGATGGAGAGATTGTCGAGAGAGGAACGTATGAGCAACTGGTCGCTAGAAAGGGACTTGTTGCCGATCTCTTGAGAACCGCGGGACACGATTCGACAAGCGCTTCTGGCAGCTCTACCGGAGAGTCTAGTGAAACCTCTACTGTCATCGAACCTCTCACCACTCAAGACAAGGAAGAACTGGAGGAGGCTCAGGAGCATGTCCCAGAAATGGCACCCATCAAGACCGGATCCTCCATGCTCGACAAGCCCAGATCAAGCAGCATGGCGACTTTGCGACGTGCTAGCACCGCCAGTTTCAAGGGTCCTCGTGGTAAGCTTACGGACGAAGAAGTTGCATCATCCTCCAAGACGAAGCAGGCCAAGGAGCATGTCGAGCAAGGCAAGGTCAAGTGGGCAGTGTACTTTGAGTATGCCAAGGAGAACAACCTCTTTGCCGTTGGCGTGTACATGATTGCTTTGCTCGCTGCGCAGACGGCCAACATTGGTGGCTCCGTCTGGCTGAAGGAATGGGCCGAGATGAACCAGAAGGCGGGCGCCAACGACCACATTGGAAAGTACATTGGCATCTACTTCGCCTTTGGTATCGGCTCCTCTCTCCTGACCGTCCTCCAAACCCTCATCCTGTGGATCTTCTGCTCCATCGAGGCCTCGCGGAAGCTTCACGAGCGAATGGCCAATGCCATTTTCAGATCCCCCATGTCCTTTTTCGACACCACACCGGCTGGTCGTATCCTCAACCGATTCTCCAGCGACATTTACCGCGTCGATGAGGTGCTGGCCCGGACATTCAATATGCTTTTTGTCAACGTTGCCAAGTCGGGCTTTACCCTCGGCATCATCTCCGTGTCTACACCCGCTTTCACCGCTCTCATCATCCCCATTGCTCTGGCGTACTACTGGATCCAGCGCTACTACCTCCGCACATCTCGTGAGCTGAAGCGTCTGGACAGTGTCACCCGCTCTCCCATCTATGCTCACTTCCAGGAATCGCTCGGCGGTGTCGCCACGATCCGCGCCTATCGTCAACAGCAGAGATTCCAGCTGGAGAACGAGTGGAGGATCGATGCCAACCTTCGCGCTTACTTCCCGTCCATTAGCGCAAACCGCTGGCTTGCCGTTCGACTCGAGTTTATTGGTGCCATTGTCATTCTGGCAGCTGCTGGATTTGCCATTATCTCTGTTGCCAACCACAGCGGTCTCAGCCCTGGTTTTGTTGGTCTGGCCATGTCGTATGCTCTTCAGATTACGACTTCCCTTAACTGGATCGTCCGTCAAACGGTCGAGGTCGAGACCAACATTGTCTCTGTCGAGCGAGTGCTTGAATACGCGCGACTGCCCAGCGAGGCACCTGATATCATTCCCAGCAAGCGGCCTCCTGTCAACTGGCCTAGCAAGGGCGAGGTGGACTTTAAGAATTACAGCACGCGTTATCGTGAGGGCTTGGATTTGGTGTTGAAGAATATCAACCTCGATATTAAGTCACACGAGAAGATTGGCGTCGTCGGCCGAACTGGTGCTGGCAAGTCATCGCTGACACTGGCTCTTTTCCGACTGATTGAGCCCGTGACCGGCCATATCGACATTGATGGCCTCAACACCTCCACTATTGGCTTGCTTGATCTCCGGCGACGGCTTGCCATTATTCCGCAAGACGCAGCTCTTTTCGAGGGTACTGTTCGAGACAATCTCGACCCGGGCCATGTACACGACGATAGCGAACTCTGGAGCGTACTAGGTATGTCTACTAACCCCCCCATGCTAGATTGACATAGCTGCTAACTTACTGGCAAGACCATGCTCGTCTGAAGGATTACGTATCCAGCTTAGAAGGAGGCCTCGAAGCCAAGATCCACGAAGGAGGTGAGTTTCCCAATCCCCCTTTCCTTACACCTCGTATACATACATTTACGTCGAGGACATGAAGCTGACCAGAGAATCTAGGCTCCAACCTCTCACAAGGCCAACGCCAGCTCGTCTCTCTCGCCCGCGCCATGCTCACCCCCTCCAACATTCTCGTCCTGGACGAAGCCACAGCCGCCGTCGATGTTGAGACAGACGCCATGCTCCAGGCCACGCTGCGATCCCCGCTCTTCTCCAACCGCACCATCATCACCGTTGCGCACAGACTCAACACCATCCTGGACAGTGACCGTGTTGTCGTGCTGGACAAGGGTGAGGTGGTGGAGTTTGACACGCCGAGCGAGCTGTACAAGAAGCAGGGTACCTTTTACAACTTGATGAAGCAGGCGGGTCTCGACATTGAGACGCGAGACTTGTTGGACTAACTGCTCTTTCTGGGTTATCACATGGCTTTTTAGTACAGTTGCTCTTTCTCTCTTACGGGTGTTTTGTCTTTCTATGGTTCCATCATTGCTATTAAATTGCTTGTCTAGAGCTTGGGAGCAGAGAGAAGTGAGTATGGGGAAGGATGGATGGTAATTAGGGCGTCACGTTGTCAGTCATTGTATGTAAAAAACCTGGCAGAAGAAGGACGACAGAGTGAGTTGAACAAGAGAGAAAGAGAGAGAGAAGAAGCAAGTTTGGGTATGCTGCATATATCGAGGGTTGTGTATATGTAGTCTTATGGAAAATTGAAAGAGAAAAGCAGATACGTAGATGGCAAGGAAAGGAAACGTCATGAACAAGAAGGCAAGGCATCCTGTTCCGTAAGGTGATTGTTGGACAAAAAAGTCTTTGCATGATTGTCGACTTGGCTACGGAGTCAAGTCAGGCATGGATCCTCGCTGCTTTCATTACTCTTAAGCTTATGCTCGTTTACGTACACATCAGAAGAAAGCCATTTTCCCCCCGTTTCCGCCTGCTCGTGTCCCCAGCAACGTGTAGAGCTTGGGCAAGCTGAGCGAGTTGAGGCAAACATAAGCATGCAGTTCCCCCAAAATTCCAGCCATGGGTTCGCAATTTGATGGACGAGAGCTAAAGTAACAGCTACATCATGTAAGTTGTTGCATCTAAGGTACTCACGGCAAGCATTATACGACTTTCCCAGATAGTCATGCAGCCCTTTGAAAGCACGAAAGAAGCCCGACACATCACGTCCGATTCAACATCAATATATTGTTAGACTCACCTCCACCACCAACCCCCCCCCCCCCCCCCCTTTCCCATCCACAACTTCCCTTTTGGCCCTTCTTGGTCAGTCAGCCTAGGTATGTGGGAACAACGACATGGGTCTCGACACTTCGGTACTTGGTGCAGCTCCAGTTACCTACCTCTACCTCCTGGATCAGCAACCCACCTTTTTCTGGCCCATAGGTATTCGTATGTAGCAGACAATAGTACTGTCATAGTCTCCGCGTATTCCCTCTTCTAATACCTGACCTAAGCGGATAATTTGCCCTCTTGTTGTTGTTGTTGTTGTTGTTGTTGTTGTTGTTGTAAGCAGTTGTAAGTCCGCTTGGGTGAGTGCCATTGATCCACCAGAGGTTCGCAAAGGGCATCTCAACCATCATCACAGAGCGCACCTCCACGAATGAAGAGAGACAAGAGGAAAGAATGTTGTATCCGCGAGAACGGGATACGTCACCCTGGCATCACAATCGGGTGATTGCTGGGAACTTCTGTACTTCGTATGCGTGCGTTGTCGTTCCCGCCAGAGCAGACTCCTGCTGCAGACGCAGCGTTCAGAGAAAGGGGACATATACTGCGTACAAGTAGAGTAGGTAGGGAGACATCGCATGGAGGGCCCTGCACATTAGCTATGCAGTTCTCTGGCCTCGCCCAGAAACACCAACCACCGTTGTTATCGTGCAGAATTGGTGGACCTCGATGGGGACCAGTCGGTTAGAATCATCATGGTATCATCTCGCTGGCGGCAGTGCAGAGGGTGCCTCGTCACCCGTACCTGCAGGGCTGTTGCAATTCGGTATGGAGCTGCCACTCGTCCCTCGATCCCTTCCCCAACGTACAGAGTACTACCTAGTAGTAGTATCTACTACTCCATGCAGTACTATGGGCTTCGAAGCGGTAATTGCTTCGTAGCCGGCGTCCATTGCCGAGCGGTAGACGGAGTATCCCAGTAAGGAAGCACTAATGCCAGGCGGGATTATCTCAGGCCGCACTCGTTCAGCCCGGGTACGCTCTCCGCAAATAGGATATATAACCCGTACATACTAGCAATGCGAGTGAGAATGACAGAAGACCTGTGATGCAGAATGGGAATAAGCAGCAGGAAGTATCCGATTGCGCCTCACCATCTTCCGTTTGTTGCGAGTGCCACGGAGGAGGAAGTACAGTAACACTACTAGCTGTATCATGCATCCACCGCCTCGCTTGACAGCTTTGTGACGGAGATAGACTGCTTACCTGGGATCTGCATACGTCCGTACTGTACGGAGAACAGATAAGTATGTACCTGGACTCCATAGGTAGCAAGCTTAAAGCTAGTAGAGTCCAGACAAGCTCCATCGCCAGAGTGCTTGGAGCAGCACTAGGCACATCGTAGCGGCATCGGGAGCGGCATCGTAGCACCTATTGAACGGTGGTGAATGGCAAGATGTGGTCCTGCCTAGTAGTTAGATGTATGTATATGCACGGTGGTGCATACACATCTGTATCGGCTGTATTCCGTAGAATGATTGCCCTATCTGTGTGACAAGTGACACATGACGTGGTTGGTAGCGTTTCCCTTTCAAGACCGTTTCCACGGACCCTGTTCAGATATTGCCGGGGTTCGCTTCCCTGCCACGACAAGCATTTGCTGGCCAAGGCTGATGGAAATACGCTGGACAGGGGAACGGCGACCAGAACTCTCCAGAAGATGGAAAGCGGATGGCAATGCTAGCTGCACTAGCCCGCCCACCTCCACCCTTTGGAGCCATATCAGGGATGGAGAGAAGTTGAAAAAGCTCGAAAGACACGTTCAACGATAGACTGTTCACGCTCCGTCGTTCGCCTCATATCGGCAGGTGTGCCCTCCTGCGACGCTATCGAGCGTTCAGCAGGCGAAGTGCTGTCGGATTGCCTCTGTCCTTCTCGGTGCTCTTGCTGCTCTCGTCGAGGATCGAATTGCTGCCAACAGTCATTCCCCCAGTTCTGCGATGGGCTTGGCGAGATAACTCCAGATGCGCGGCACTGCGCCATGCGAAAAGCTGACTCGGCTTGGCTGATCCGCGTGTGTCGTGTCTACTAGTCGTCGCCGGCAAATGCGGCGAACAGGGCATAGCCAATGGCTCCAGGTGGCCCCGGCAAGCATCTCTCAAAGGAGGCTGCTCCGTAGTTTTGGCTGTAGCCAATACTAGTCTCTTCCAGTCCACCAAACCAAGCAATGTGTGGCACTGGATACAATAGCCAAGACCCTTCAAGTTCGGCGTACAGTACAGCTCGGCGCGCAGCAGTCGTTGGCCATCGAACACAGGCAGACAGGGCTGGCCACCCCTTACGCCCCCCCTGCTTTTCCTGGCCTTCCCTTCTCCAGAACACCGCAATATCCACATCCTGCGGGCACCATCATGTATGTAGAGGCATGTAAGAGAACCAAAGCGGCGAATGGAAAGACGTTGACAGTAAGTAGGAATCGGGGAACAACCTGCCGCCGAGTCGGCAGCTTGTAGCGGTGTGCGATGAGTTGTTGCCTTCTTCCTTTACCATTCTCTTCAGGTCTCATCGCCACAATTGCTGGATTACACCAGACATTCGCCGCTGCAGTGGAACAGTGCTGATGCGAGTCCAATCGTTCTATCACGCAAAGCATTAGTGCGCGGCGAACACCTCGCCCAATTGTTGCGAGCTGGTAACAACAGCCGCCTAGCTCAAAGGCTTACCAAGTAAGGGAGGATGCTAGCATTCGCACCTAGTGCAAGCTGTAGGTGGTATGGATCCATGGGGAGCTTCCTGCACCCCGGTGGCGCGTTCGGCTTCAGAGATGCGAAAGCGATTGGGTCGGTGCTGGCATCCAGCTCTCGTGGCAGCCTCCTATGGGGGGCATGGGGTCTTTGCGTCTCGTCTCCTGAGCCAGTCATGCCCATGAAGAGGTTCAAGGCGACTCGACGGCAGCCAGGCGAACTGGAGCGGCTTCTTGGCTCCTGCAGCTGCAGCTGCAGCTGCAGCGGTGCCAGCACGACTCCAAGCACAAGCACCCGTAATAGCTGTTGCGGAGCAGGGAGGATGACACTTTGCCCTCTTCCGTTGGCCGCCTGATTCGACGCAGGGAGGTGGCCTGGCCAAGCTTTCCCCTACCATTGGCCAAACGAACTGGCGGGAGACCTCACCACCTGCGGGCCGTCGTCCGTAGCGTGCGGTTAAAGTGCTGCTAGTCTTCCGGATTGGGTTTTCTCTGCATAATCTACTCGATTTGTTTAGTCTTGTTCATCCTGCGGAGAGACGACTGGGGCTAAGAATAGCTGGTGCTGGCCCCTGTGCTTCTCATCAGCAGATCACGCTTCGGCTATGACAGCAGTTCTGCTCTGAGTCCCGGTGCAGCATGGCCGAGTTGACGAAGTGACGGCTCTTTTGCCTTCACTCCGTAATACCCAGATGCTGCCCGTACCGGCCGGCGTGCCATGCGGAGAATATACTCCGTACCAGCCAGTCTCCTTCACTGCTGCCTCAAGGTACGAGTGCCATTACAACTCGTAGGTTCTCGAACATGAATGAGATCTACCTCGTTTGGTGCCAGAACGTGTTAGGTTGCGTGCACAGGGTCACATCGACTACGCAGCGCACAGGAACGCCGCAAGCTCATGGGTAACGTCCTCGAGCTGAAACCGGTGCTGGGAAATCTTGCCCAGGCCGTTAAGGATAGGCACAAACTTGTTCGCGGATATCACATCCGGATGGACTTCGTCTAAAGCAAGGCCGGCCGTCCAATTGGATCCAAGTCCGTGAGAGATGCTACTTAGCGTCTGTTAGTATATCTGTCAACACGAGGTCCTGATGTGGCGAGGAGACACGCCTCGATCAGAGTTGTGCGTTACCAGACTGTCGGGGGCTTCGCTGGGACTTACAAAGAAGTCGTCTGGCTAGCCAATAGATGCCCCAAAGCTGCATATGCATGCTGCACGGAACAGACTAATGAGTTTCCGACCTCTTCCCCTCCATTTAGGTAAGATACTTGTAATTCCGCCATCACCAATGCTGTGGAGAGTGAATAATTGAAGTCTGTAGAAGCGAAGAATCGGGGAAGCACTCTGTAGAAACTCAAGACTTAAAATGTCACCTTTCTTCGAAGATAGAGAAGATGAGGGAATGGCTTCAGCGCCACTGAAGGGCCCGTCGAATGCCCACTTCGAAACGAAGAGGCGACCAAGTCCAGATCGAAATTACTCTCATCAAATTGCGGACAAGAGCCAATCCCAGAACTCTCTGGCTCTGCCAGGCCGTCGCGCTTGAACGCTGGATCCTTCCATCAACCCGAGACTGCTGGGTAGAAAAGCGTCAATAATTGTCATGTGAACACATGAAGAGAGCAATGTTAGGAACCATTTCTCCGGTTGGCAGACAAACCATCGCTGAATCCATAATCATGGACGAGACATGTGTCATCTCCACGTCTACCAGGCAGCTGTTTCTAAGGAGCAACCGGTCATGATGTTGCGAGATTCCGACAGTGTGATAGGTTTCCCTTTAATTCGGCGGAGT